ATTGATGTATCTTCTGGCCTCCATTTGTTTCTGATGAACACTCAAGGTAATTCACATCTGTGTTCCCCTTTGTGTTTCCCTATGTTTCCCTATATGTCACTTGTCATTTTTCCAGAAGTTAATAATGTAACTAGACATAATATTCTGAGCTGTTAAAATCTGAAAATATATGTCTTTTGCCAAATTTGGAAAATTAAAGACCATTATTTTTCCAAATATATCTCTTCCCGTTTTCTCTCAGTGTCTCTTGATCTCCACTGATATATCTTCTGGTAATATACCAAGTTCACTGAAACTCTGTCCTTTCATGTTTTGTTCTTGTTTGTGTTTTCATTCTCTTTTCTCTCTGACATTCAGATTGGGTAAATTCTATCAATCTATCTTCCATGTTCCCTGATTCTTTTTTCACCCCTGTTAAAACCATCCTGAGATTTATTTATTTCAGATACTACATGTACAATTCCTCAAAATTCTATTTAGTTTTTTCTTATAATTTGTGTTTATCAAATGAGAAGAGTTTTTCATTTGTTCATTTACTATAGGCATATTTTCCTTTGTATCCTTGAAACAGTTATAATGGCTGCTTTGAAATTTTGTCTGCTCTTCCAATGTCTGGATCATCTTGGGCTAATCATTAATTTTTCTCTTTTGATTATGATTCTTGATTTTTTATTTCTTAAATATCTAGTAATTTTAGATAGCACATTAGACATTTGAAAAATACAAGGTAAAGATACTCAATTTCAATATGTTCTTCTTTTGAGCACTGGAGTGTTTTTTGTTGTTCTTATTGATCATTTTCCTTGCTTTAACAAGCAATTGTGGCAATATTTATACTCCATTCTTTGTCACAGTAAGCAACTTTCATTTTTCATTTACCCTTAGCTGGAAGGGTTGAATCTGTTTCACACATCATATTCCAGGCATTGTCCAGTAAGTAGTTTACACAGAGCATGTAAAAATGTGGCATTTATTTCCCTTCTGTGGCCCTCTTCTTTCCAAAACTACACCCCTTACTTTCATCTGCTGCAGCCAAAACTCTGCCTTCTGCTTCTGCAAGTGAGGCTGTACATAGACTTTAAATAGCCTCCTTCATTTTTTTATATTATTTAAAATTTGAAAGGAAGCTTTGGTCATTTTGGGTGACTAGTCATTTTTTATGACTAATTCACTTTAACAGTGTCACTTAAAATTCTACTATCCTTTAAATTAACGTTTTTGTGATTACAGTCGAATGCCTACTTACAACAACAGAATATGATCTGAAAAGTTAAACACCCACACTGGAACGTTAAATCTTAGCTTTTTCTGAATGTTGTTTTGGCAAATTTCACTGTGGGAGGTGAGATGATTTAAAGCTTGATATTTTCTATTATAGTCAAAGGCATAATTTCTCTGACATCGTTTTCCATTTGGAATAAGGAAGTACCCTAGAACAATGTTTTAAAATAAAATTTGTCCACATAATGACAGTTTTTCTCAGTTCTACCCAAACTAAAATAGCTCAGAAGCATTTATTTACTTATCATAACCACTAAGAAATTATAGTCATTACACCTACCATCACTTCTATATCATTCTAGAAAAAAAATACATCATTTTTTTTCTTCAGAAGATCTCCTGCTTTCCTGTCTTTATACTTCATCGTTAATGGAAACTTTGGACAGCTGAGAAAAGTGCAGAACATCCCAATTCAGCCTCTGCCCCCGCCTTCCCAAGAGTTTCCTTTCTTGTCAACATAGTAAAGAAGAGGATCATGTTTATTACTTATAAGTGAGCTACAATATAGACTGTGCCATTACAGAGCTGGTTGGTGGAAGAACAGGAAAAGATACAAGTATTAGGACTTGGTTTAAGTTAACTTATTATGAGAGTTAGTGGTAAATCGAAACCTAAAATCATGAGTTTGTTCATCAGCCATTACGTGGTCAATTAATATTCAAATTTGAATTGAAAATACAATAAAAATAACAATGTATACATTTAAAACTTGACATCTAGAGTAGTATAGAATACTATCTACTAAAATAGTACTGCAAAATCATTTGTACCTATTGTAAAACAGAGCTTGAGAGAATTTGTTTTTAAGTAAGAGTAGCTATCAATAGGAGAATTCAGATAGAATAGCATTTATATTCTTTCATGAATTTCTTATTCCTCTTCTAAGAAATTTGTCGAGCACATATTATGGATTATGCATGGTTCTTGATACTTAGAGGTTGCACACTCTCCTCAGCCCAACTTGTCACCCAGCAGGAATGGCAGAACAGTGTTACCCAATCTTCTGATTACCCAAGAGAAATATGTGTGTAAAATCTGCCAGTCTTTCAATGTTGGCATTCAATTCAAAATTATTTTGGACATTGTAAAGGCTACATCAAACAGGGGTCCATGTAGGGGTCACAGAGTGCTGGTCTGCAGCCTGTGTGAACCAAACTGTTGCTCCTGCCTGGGAAAGTTGCACAGTGAACAGCATGGACACCTCAGCATGGTCTGTTGTATGTCCCCTCCTCCATAACTAACTGCTCTCAAGAAGATTTCAAACTAAGAAGAGTACAAAGACAGAGTCCAGGGTGGGGGAGCAGCCCTGGAGGAGATGGACCCAAAAGCTGTAGCAGGAGGATCAAGATATTTGTGTTCAGCATCAAGAACCTACTGTGTGCAGCATACTCTGCTGAGTGCCTGGCATTCTCATTTGGAAAGGGAAGATTCTGGTGTTGTAGGGCTGAAAGTTGACTAAGGGAAAGGTAAATGAACAAAAATTATGAAAGTTCCGGGAAGCATGCAGATGGATTGTACAGGTGTTGAAATCTTCATTCATCACACATTTCCTGAGGACATAAATATATCTAGAATTTTGAAGATACCACAATAAACAGAACAAACATGCTCTCTATCCTCAAGGATTTTGTACTCTAGCAAGCGAGCTGGCAGTTTTAAAATGGTACAAATATGTGCTTAATTACAATTATAATAAATGCTGTAAAGGAACAAAGGAGAATATGACAGCATAATAGAGACACCTAACTTGGGGTGAAACAAAGTATTTCCCTGAAAAGTTACATCTAAGCTGAGATCTGAAGAATAATGAGTGTTGGGAATATTAGCCAGACCCATAAGGCAGTAAGAGTGTTCCAGGAGGGGGAGAAGAATCAGAGCAGGCTCCGAGGCAGCTCTTGAGAAACCAGAAGGATTGGAAGGATGGGGTATCTAGGAGGGAAGAGCAAAGCCAGAAGAGTAAGCCAAGGAAAGATTGCACAGTCCTAGAGACCCTCTTGAAGTCTCAGACTCCATCCTGAGACCTCATGGTCACCAGGGATGGGTGACAATGACACCGTGGCGGCAGTGCGCCCTGCAGTGGAGAGGCACTGTGAGTAAGCAGAGGGGCTATGCTGGCAATGACCCAGCAAAAGCTATGGAAGTTTTGGCTTATGGCGTTGATAGTTGGTTTTGATAGTATATTGGATTGGGAAAGACGGGTGTTGAAGATTTAGAATTCTGCCCACAGTCCAGTTGCCAAGATGGGGACCCCCAAAGAGGAAACAGATATGGGGATGGGCGGAGGTTTCCGTTTAGGAAGAGTAATGTTTCAGATATGAAGTAGGCAAGAAGGATCAGTGGGTCTGGCTTTCAGAACAGGGGACTGCATGAGCATTCATATGACACAAAGGCCATGGGAGTGATGAGCACACCCAGAATGAGTGCCCAGTGAGCAGAAGCCTAGAACCATCCTCAGTGTGTCTATGGCTCACTTCCCTCTCCCAACTCAAGTGCAGGGTAAGGGTGTCACTGACCAGTGTTCTCAAACTGTCTGACAGACACCTGAGCAAGGTTTCCAAGCCATTGCATTTTATTTTTCAATACAGAAAAAACCAAAAATATTCCCAGTCACCATTATTTTATGCAACAGCATCTACAATTGGGGCTCATAATCCTTAAACTTCATCACAACGGTGACATGTCAGCACACTATTTCTACCAACTAAACTAGATGCCTTGTCCTCCTCCAGTACAATCAAGTTCCCCTCCTGCATTGATACTTCACAACATACCCCTAAATAGACTGGGTGGTCATTTTAACCCATGTGAATTTATTTCTTGGATAAATTTTTAAACCAATATAAATTTTTAAACCAATGTCTCTTCCCCAACTTTTTGCCTCCTTATAACTAGAAAATTGACTTGATCAATAACTAAGGAGGTTTTCCGTCTCTCTGGATGTAACACTCAGTTAACCTTTTTTTTATGGCTCCCACATATCACAACCAGACCAGGGGAGCTATGAAGCTTGGAATTGGGTGAAAAACAGGAAAGGAGAACTAGGGAGACCCATCCTGATCCTGGGTGGCAGCAAAACATGAACTTTGGACTCTGACACTCCAGGGTTTGAATCTTCCAGGTTCAACACACTCAATAACTAACTATCCTCCTTCCCTTCTTTCCTGGTGATTGAATGATTAACAGAGACACTGCTGGTCTCAGAGATTTAACAGGAATAAGTAAATACAAATTATTGTTTAATGACTTCATCAAATGGATATTACATTGACCAGAAATGGTTATAACATATTTTATAATAAACTTTTGTCAGTTGATCAATATAAACACTTTTTTTACAAAACATAAATTGATATCATAAATCTTTTGCTTTGTTAGTCCTCAGACACAATGTAAAATACCTCAGGTAGGTCCAACAGAACCTAAAATACCACAAAGCACAGCATAATCTGGAGAGCACAAACTGTGCATGATATCACAAAATAGCAGGCAGGGTTGATCAGAAAAGGTATGGCAGTTGGAAGTTCTCTGCTTCCAAAGCAAACCGTAACTGGAATCCTTGATAAATTTCCCTGAAAAGACTGATATTCCTAGTTCAATCCCATTTCTGTCACTAGGTCAGGATAAACTGAGTCACTGACCACATGGCCCAGTCATCTTTAATGTGATGCAGCAAGCTTTAAAACTTACATTGAAAGAACCAACAGAGAAATGGAAAAAAATTGAAGGAAAATGTGTTATATTTTGTTTTTATTTGGAATCACAAAAGAAAAACTTTTTAAATAAACCCTTAAATTCTTCACCATTAATGTGATTTAAATAATTTATAAATATTGAATTGATTTATTTACATATATTTGACTATAAAAATTACATTCCTTTTTTGTGTTTACATCATCAAACCCAATCAAGCCAAATAAGATGGTTAACTAAAATGATTAATGAGTGCTGCATTAGGTGATGGTTTTAAATTTAGAATGTATTACTGATGTCAGGGTTGATTAGTTCTCTATCTAAAACTGATGCTATTAAAAGCTTTGAGCAATTTAAATGTAGTCATTGAGTAAAATTCCAATGGAGTGAGAGAAATTCCATCAGGATTGAGTTTGCTATGGTGAATGTACTTGTGTGCAAAAGTTAGAGAGAGAACCTTTACTGACAGGGTGGGAAGAATATGAGGCAGGGGAGCTGATTAGATGGCATCAATCATGGTGAAGATAAAGAAGCTTAGAATAAGAGAAAAACTCTTCTTTGCACATGGAATCCCAAATGGCATAGGGTATGAATCTTAATCATTTCAGCTTCAGAACTTTTCACAAAGCAAGAGAAAATAAATGAAGGGGAGGAAAGGGGTTAATACAGCACCAGGCCTTAGTAACTTGTCAGTGGTGGAGATCAACATTTTTATTAATAAGAAAAGGAAACTGTGGGCAGAGCAACAGTGATGTAAGTGCTAACAATTACTGGGTGGAACAATTATGTGTCATGGGTGTTTCAGAACCTAGAAAGCAAAGTGGAGGGATTATGCCCATTGTATTGCAAGGTGAGAGTCTAACTCACTGAAGAACTGTCCTGGAACTACTGCACAGGACTCAGAGAAATGAAGGTGAAGGCAGCTGGGACTTTGGAAAGGTGAGTGATTTAAATCACATGTTAAACCATTCCCATTGTCTCCTAAATATTGTATTCTTGGTTCAAAGGTCCCAAGGCATTTCAAATGAAAGGGGAAACATAATTGATTGGATCAACATTTCTTTGGATGTTCAGATGTCATCTCTGCTAAGGGGTGTGAGAGGGGATCTGTCAGTGGGTCAGGTAGTACTGGAAGTTTCTACTGTCCTGAATGTAGCTTAGCAATCTCCAGGAAAAAGGCAGCAAATAACTTGGACCCCTCTATGTAGTTCCACCTAACAAAAGAAAAAACAAAGAGAAACTTTGTTATAATGACCAAACAAAGGAAGAAAAGTATTGTACCATTTATTTTTTTTTATTTTTTTTTAATTTTTTATTGTGGGTTGTTCAAAACATTACAAATTTCTTGACATATCATATTCCACACTTTGATTCAAGTGGGAGTATTGTACCATTTAGACAGGAAGATTGATATTTTAAATTCAATCTAAAGTGTTGGACACTATACTGAGATCGCAGAATGAAAGGCACTTGATGATTCCTGTGTCGAAATGGCATTATTATTAAGAAGATGGGAATCTGTCCTGGGCCCAAATCCAAAAAAAAAAAAAAAAAAGTTCATTTTCCTTGGTTTTTTATTATTGACACGACATGGATATCAGAACCACACATGTTCTTGTTTCTTACTAGTATAGGAGACTTAGGAGGTTTGTGTCAAACATGCCTAAATATTCTTAGTTATGGACTGAATGTCATGATCCCAAAAATTCTCTTGTTGAAGCCCTAACCCCTAATGTGACTGTATTTGGAAGTGGGACCTTAGAGCAAATGATAAAGGTCATTGCAGTTAGCAGGGTGAAACTTAATCCCCAGGGCTGGTGCCCTTGGAGGGAGGAAGAGACCTGAGCTCACTGGCTCCTTGGCACTCTCTCTCCTCTGCCCCTCTATTGCAACACGTGAGGACACAGGAAGAAAGCAGTGGTCTGAGAGCCAGGAAGAGAGCCCTAACCAGGAACCCAATCAACCAGCACCTTCACCCAGTACTTCCTTGCGTCCAGGACTGAGAAAACGAATGTCTGATGCTTAAGCCACCCCATATGGGGTTCCCATTGTCACATAAGGAGAAGGGGCCTGACCACATGCACCCCTGGGCTTGTGCAGCAGGACCCAGTCCACACAGGGACCTGCTGACCTGTTGATCTTCTCATTCTGAGAGCGTTCCCCATCATCGACAGCCCCCAGTGGAAGCATCATCAACGCTCTTTTGAATGAGGTCCTGGATCATTTTGGCTATTGGAATGGTTGACCCATCCCGCATCATATCTGGTTCTGTTCCAAACACTGAAACACAAGAAAGAGAAGGCAGTGGAATATATAACAGGACTGACCCTACTAACCTCAAATGGGATATTTGCTTTATCTTTCTTTTTCTTTTTTTTCCTTTCTCATTTTTAACATTAGATTTGGGCCAGGGTAAGTAAGCTCCTTGATATCAGCTACTTGTGTTCTAAAATGAACGAAGCAGTCAAGAAGAAACCTGTGGATTCCTTCTTTACAATTGCATACTCAAAAAACTTTTCTTGAATTTGTTTGAACTAATTTTTAAAAAGTTCAGAATTTAGAAAATTATAAAAATAGTACAGAAAGCAGTCCCTTATATCCCTAACTCTGCTTTTCCAGCATGTTAATACACACAACTGTTGTGCAATGATCAAGACCCGGAAACTGTCATTGTCCTGAACCATGCTCCAAACTTCACAGATCCCACCGTCTTTCCTCCCAGCACCCAGTGCAGAGTCCCACACTGTGTTTTGTTATTGCTTCTCCTTCATCTTTTCTAGCCTGTGACCATTTCTCAATATTTTGTTGTTTTTTGTGAACTTGACCTTCTTTAAGAACCCACTGATCAGTTGTTTGGTAAAATGCTCCTCAATTTGGGATGGCCTGGTATTTTCTTGTCATTGGAAGAGGTCATGAATTGTTGGCAAGACACAAGATAATGTGCGCACTTTAAGAGTTTCTTCATGAACTAAATATTATGGAAGTGGGACTTTCTTGGGTAATTTTTTTTGTAACAGATATACAAACAAATATCTGTCCTCCACTCTCACTTGAATGTCACAGTGTTTCTCCCAGTTTTCAAAGGATCACATCAAATAGTTTCAACTGCTACCCTCAGTTCTAGACAGAGATGACTTCAAACCCTCTAGCTCAGAGAACAAATTACCTGTGATTGACTGGCAATAAAATCTAAAACAAAGAAATGAAAGAGAATATGCTACCTCTTTCTTAATCACAAAGCAAGGTGTGAAAGTGAATTAAGTGATGTGCCTTCTCAGCAGAACTGGGTCACACATAGTTGACCAAAAGGAGCACTCATCATGAGCATGTGGGATCTTTTCATGGCTGTTAACCTTGACATTTCAAACACGCATTTCTATTCAGCTGGCATAGTGCTCAACTTCTCACCTTCCTAACTCTTCTTCCTCTTCTCTCTCAATTTTTATTAATAAAATACCTGCTAAATTGAGGCAGTAGGAATTACGATGTAGAGAAATATGGCTCTAAGTGTTGGACTTGTTCTCTAATTTTCATAGCTATGTCTCTTAAACTGATAATACCATTGGGGAATTAGGACTGCAGTGAGCCCTGGGTTCTAAATTGCAGCTCTACCTCTCCGAGTAGTGTAGCCTCAGGCCCCACCTATAGCTTTGTGCTATAGATCTATATTAACACTTGCCAGTGTTTGCCCAGCTTTCTTTAGGGGACACCCAAAACTCTCCCCATGTTTAGGGGCCCCCATTTTGCTATAATTGGCAGGTTGTCCCTCTTGCAGTAGAAACCAACGAGACTAGATATTTCTTCCTCCTGTCCTGGCATCCAAAGCCCAGGCATATTCCCTCTGCTTGTCCCATCATATATATGTCTTGCCCAGGACTTTGAAGAACATAGAATTAAAATAAGCACCACCAAGGAAATGCCAAACAAAACCATGCTGCCTTCCGGAGGGAGAAGTATCGAGGCCTGTGAGATCACTGGTCGGAGCTGGATGGACTGGCATTGGGTTTCTCATGGGTTTTGACTTTATATAACAAGTCCATCTCCAGGAAGCCCTTCCCTGGATATCTCTCATGGCCCCCCGTGGGGCTGTGTCTCTCCAGGGCAGTCTGGTGTTTGCATCAGTCAGGAGGTCCACCTGTGGGGTTGGGAAGAACTAGACCACACCCAAAGCAGAAATGAAAGACAACATATTTGGGAATGGGTCCATGCTTAGAAATTCTCAGGGGAGACTCTGTTTTCATCCAGAACACAAACCAGAAGGTCAAGCTTGCAACACACAGAGTTGAACAGGGCTCTGAGGGAATTCTGATCTTTGTGCAGGGGGCTTATGTCCAACTCCCTGCTTCATGCTGGCCTGAGGCTATCACAGCGCTGGCCTCTTATTGCCCAGGGAGAGCAGAGGTCCACAGGGCAGTATGTCTGCTAGCCTATTCCACCAGATTGTGGTTTCTCTTTCATTTGTAACTCAAAGAATTTTCCTTCTTTCATATGAGTTAGTCTGTTTTTGAAAGGATTTTTGTATGTTGGCCAATATTTCCATGATCTTTGCATCAAGAGGGTTTCAAGTTTTTCTGGACCCTCATTTTCCCTAAAATTCAGGTCTCCAGATTTGAACTGGTACCCTGGCTTTGCCACTGAGATATGTGCCCTTCAACAAGTTACGTAGTCTCTTTAACCCCTAATTCCCCCCTGTGTGAAATGGAGAAGGCAGTTGGATCGCTTGAGACAGTGATAGGAAGCACTCTGTGCATAGTGCACCTTCAATAATAGGTGGTAGATGCAAAGGAGAGTCAACCCCTGAGTTTCAGAAGTGCCTGCTGATCCACTGTCCCACAGGCAGGACCCCCTGGTTCCACTGTAAAATGGCAAGTCAGAACATCTAAGGTCCCACCTCTGCTGATGGCTCTTTTTGCTGCGAGATACTGCATGTCGTTGATGTTTGCAATCCACGGTTGAAGTCCCAGTGTCATGGAAGCAGCCATGCGGTTAGAGATGTTCCTTTTGGAGAACACGTCCTCAAGGTGCTGCTTCACCTAGAAGGCAATGTTTCCACCGTAAGAGAGAACGTCAGTTTCCGCTCACCCAGGGGACAAAGTCTCCCATTCAAGAATTAGTTGAAATCCCAACCTGACACGGGGAACTCCAGAGGGTACCACACAGAGGGTAGGATTCTCAGCCCTGAGAAGAGGCTCTGGGCTCCACCCCGGGCTGCACTTGGCTCTTCCCCTCCTTCCCTCTGCCTGCAAGCCCCTCGCCTGTCCCCACCCCATTCTTACCACAGCGTCTGACACTTTAGTGGTGTTCTAGTAACTTCTGAGAAAACTGTGAAACATGATACAACTGCTCGATTGCAATGTCCTTGTGTGAGGATCTATTAGCATTCTAGTGAATATTTGGGGAACTTTCTGAAGAGAGGGGTCGATGCCAAGCCAGACTGTGAAGGAGACAGTTCAGCACCTCCCTCCCTGAGCCTCTTTCCTCCCAGGGAAGGCCATCCTGAACGTCCCCTCCAGTCACTCCTTCAGCAAATGTGCAGTATCCCTGGCATGCCCAGGCACACCCAGGACTGTCCAGGTGCTGTGGACAAGCCACAGAAGACCTGGCCCTGGGGGTGCAGCTGTAGAAAGAGGGGCCATGCACCCTGGGCCAGGAAGCGCGGAGGGAAGGGCACAGGGAACGTAATCAGTGCCAAGCAGACAGTGGAAGAGGATGATGGGAAGAAGAGCCACTGAGGGTCAGGTTGGGGCTTCTCCACTCTCTGTTAAACTCACTGGAGGTAAAGTGATGCTGGATTGGTAACTTAGACATATCACTCCTTCCAAATGATATCTTCATTAAAATGGCTGCTTCAAACTGTTGACTTCAGACATCATGGGAAAAGTGACGATTGGGCCTGAGCTTTCTGGCTGCATCCTACCATGGGCAGTTACTGCTCCATCTACAGGCAGAACCAGTCTTGCCTTTATAGCTCCCATCTAATTTTTAAAAATTTCCCATCACCACAACTCCAAATGGTTATTTATCACACAGCTATAGTTGTGTATAATTGAGGAACAAGATGTTTACCAAATAAGGCTGATGCTGGTTCTTGACATTTGTTCCAGCTCTCTCGTTAGAAAAATGATATTTCCCTGGTAACAACCGACTGCTCACTGTACTGTGGTGTGCGGGACTCAGGAACTGACAGGCAGAGTAGCAAGGGACATTTGTTACCTGTTTTTCCACCACAGACATGTTCATGTGAGGGACTAGACGGATTGAAAATTTTCCTATCACCTGGCCAGGTATAACTGTTTTAGTTCCAGGCTCATCAAACGCACCCTCGATCCCGTGAATAGAAAGACATGGGTACCGCCACAGATGCATTAGGATTTCCTCCTAAATGGAAATAAAAGCATCCAAGAACACTGGGTGTGTCCCAGCAGTACCTGCGTGTCCGAGACCCACTCGGTCGAGTTAATCAGCACCTAATTCAGCTATGTCCGCAGCAGCAACACAAACGGACTTCTGTCAGGACACAGGGCTCCTCTTCCTCTGTGGCCTTCCCTTGCCCACAACGCCACCCACTACCAAGGTTCTGTAGTTAGCTGTTAATAGGCAATAAAGAGCCTGTTCAAAAATTTGATTCAATTATAAATTTCTATCTACTATCATGATAGTGGTCACTTGTGTCCCACAATCATTCAGAAGACCTCAAAGGCCTCTTCAGAGTCAGAGCCACCTTCCTCTCCAGCTGTGGCACCACAGACTTAGTCTGGAGGAAGAGATACACTTCATACCAATGAACGCTCCCACTTTTTTCCAGCATGTTTTTGCCCTCTTGGTACTTTCCCCAGGAATCAGCCATAGCTACCAAACACCTTAGTAAGTATTTTAAAGAGAAAGAGAGGAGAAGGAGAAAACAAACCAAAACAACAAAAAACTAAACTAAGTCGGCCAGTTACCACGGCTGGGGGTCCAGGTTTCCCAAGGGCACAGAGGAAGCAGTGTTGCCCTGCAGATCAGTCCCTGCGGCTCTGGGGTGGAGCTGGCAGGATGCATGTTAGCCTTAGAGCTGGAGCAGACTCAGGTTCTTCCCAGTCTCAGCAGCCCGGCTGCAGGCTGGCTTGGATTTAAGTTAGTAAACTACCTTGGAAAAGCATGTGTAGTTAGTCCTTATTCATGGTTGGGTGCCTGAAGCCAATGCCTACTGGATCCCAGAAACAGGACTGGTTGGTCCAGAGCATAGGAAAGAGCTGTGAAAGTCCAGATCTGCCTAGGAACCAGCATCACTAGGTTCTAATATTTGCAGATTAGCACCCTTTGGTGCTAATTACACAGTGGGAAATGTGGCTTATTGCCATACCTTGGTATCAAACAGAAATTTCCTAAACTGGCTGTTATTCCGGTATTCTCCTAGGTCCATTTCAATGGCTTCATATAGTTTTTTTTCCTCCTCTGTAAGAGGAGCCACTTGGTCATAGATTCCAGGGATCAGGATATGACCTGAGGAATCCACCAGGCTTCCTACAAAATGCACAGAGAAAAAAAAAGCAGGTAGAAATGATGACTGTGCTGATGTTGTGCCACTGGAGTGAACCAGGCAACAGCTCTCCTGGGTGGCAGCTGGCCTCCTGACTGTCCCCGATCCACTTAGCCAAAGCCACTGGCAGCGATTATACTCAAGAGGTAATGGTCAGAGGAAAAAGCTGATCATCAGGTGGACTCAGCCAGAGTCAAGCATGCTATTGTGTCCATCTGATCAAATGCAGGGCTGGAATCATGGGTCTGCAATAGATTAAATCAGATGAGGCTCACCTTTGTCAAGTGCAAGTTCTCAACTATATTGTTTGTATCATAAACAAGGTTAATTTTCAAATTCTCTTATCCTGAGTTCAAAAGTAATGTGTTCATTTAAAATATTTTAAAATATATATACATATGTATATATGTACATATATATATGCATAAATATGAAAAACTGAAAATTTCTATCATCCCTTCTCAACTCTCTCCCTACACCCCCATAAATTATATAATACTTCTTTTTAATCAAAAGCATAATATCCTTGAAGTCTACTCCATGATGAATACAAAATACTTTATTCTAAATAAGTATATACACTAAACTGCTCTTTATTAAAAAGTTTGGTGGGGGCACTGGGGTTGTGGCTCAGTGGTAGAGCACTTGCCTAGCTTGTGTGAGGCACCGGGTTCAATCCACAACACCATATAAAAAAAAATTAAATAAACAAAATAAAGGTATTATATCCATCTACAACTAAAAATATTTTTTAAAAAGTTTGGGGATCAATTAGAATAAAAAACCATCAACAAATATCTATGAAGGAAGCACATGCTGAGATTTAGTAAATATTGCTCACTGTCTGGAGAAAACACCTATCAAAGATAATATTCAACCAGGAAATAGATTGATATAGATAATACAAAAATGTCTCGGGGCAGCTACATTCACCCTCAATTCATCTAGGGACTTTTATTCAAGTAAAGGCACTTCACAAATGACACATTTCATATTCTCACTGTGATTCCAAGACCATGTTGGGGGAGGAACATGACAGAGAAAACTACGTTTTAAGATCTTAGCTCAGGTGAGCAGTCACAAACTCATCTTCAGCCCCTGAGCCACCTGTGCATGGACACCTAGTTACTGGTCAAGGCTAGGACGTGCGGAAACACAAGACCCTGCCTTCCATCAATGAGGCACCGTCTCTGACCACAGAGGAACCACGTGAACCACATGAGCAGATAGGTGGCCAGGGTTCTGGGCTCTGTGTCGACACAGAAAAGCCAGGAGAATGCGTGCCGGAATCCACAGGCAGGGGTTGTGTGAGGAGTGGGCTTCCCGGCACCTTGAGAATGTCACAGGATGCTCAGCCTGAGGATTGAGTCTCCAAGGCAGCAGAATGGGAAGGGAAGGAATTCCACCATTTCCACCAACCCCTCCTTGCCCCTCTCCTGGTCCCACTGCGCATCCCCAGACTTATGTTCCCTCTGTGACCGCGCTACAGGATGTGCGGCAGGCCACTGTGCTGTGAGTCCTGTGTTACAGCACCCCTGCTGACCCATTGGACGCACTGTATATCGAGTAAGCCATCCCAACCCCTTAGTGAGACTCAAGTCTAAAGAAGTTAGGTGCCGAGGGCCTGGGACTGGCTGCTAAGGCTTTGCTGCCTACCTTCTCTCTTTGTCACCAATACCATCAAAACACCACCAATAATGCAATCACCAGTCTTCCCTAGGGCATTTCTGCCTCCTGTGTCCTAGGTCAGGGCAGAGCTGTGGAAAGGCCTAAGACACAGACCCTGCCCACGGTCCAGCCTGGAGACCCAGGCCCAGGGTTCATGGGGTCAAGGAGGGGAGCTCTGAAGGGGAATGTTTTAGTCACCTTTTTCGCTGATGTGACTAAAAGTTTCAACCAAAACAACTTTAGAGGAGGAAAAGTTTATTTAGGGGCTCACAGTTTCAGAGGTCTCAGTCCATAGAAGGTGTCTCCATTCCTCAGGCTCAAGGTGAGGCTGTGCATCAGTGCAGAAGAGTGTGGCAGAGGGAAGCGGCTCACGTGATGGTCAGAGCAGAGAGAGGTCTCCACTCACCAGATACAAATAGACACCCCAGCCACAGCCCAAAGCCCCACCTCCTCAGCTCACCTGCCTCAGGTACCCCTCAGTTAATCCATCAGGGACTGATTCACTGATTAGGTCAAGACTCTCACAACCCAATCATTCCTCCTCTGAACCTTCTTGCATTGTCTCACATGGGAGCTTTTGGGGGATACCTCACATGCAAACCATAACAGGGAATGACCTACACAGGAGCACCGGGGTCACCAGGAGGCCAATGAGGCCACATGGCTGTCAGCTAAACCTGGAAGGATGAGTGGACACCAAGGGCATAGTCCCTGTAGCCAAAAACGACACAGAACCTGGCAGTGTTTTGACAAGAGTGTCCCCAGGAGCCAGGATGCTCATGTTCATACGATGAACCTGAACGGTGACGTCTGCCCTGACACTGCAGCTGGTGCTGCCCAACTCTGCCAGTTGTGAGGGTGGCAGCCATGTCCTCAGTGTGGGATCTGCACAGGACCATCTTTCCCAACAAGTGGTCAGCAGCTTCACTTTAAATCATGATTCCCTTTTCTCAGGATGCAGCACAGCCCTTCTCCAACTGCCAGCTTGGGAACCGTGCCTGTGGACATATAGCATTTCCTCATTTTCCTTTCCCTCTAATTCACTTGCAGAGAAATCTGACTAGGGAGAGCTGTGAGGTGCTGCTGGGTCCTTTTCTCCTTTGGTGACTGGGAAACAAGGAAAGGTTAATGTCTGTGCTCGGCAGAAATGACTCTGCCCCTGCTAGTTCTCACCCAGCGCTTTCACACCAAGTGTGTTGGCTCGATTAAGGGTTGACCCCTCCCCTCCTGCTCACTTTGCACTGATGGGGACTGATGGAGTCTCTGCAGCTACCTCCACCAATGGGGGTGGAAATTCTCAGGAGGTCGACCATGCTGCCCTGAAAACTGCCCACAGGAAACAGTCTTGATGCCCAGGAGTGCCTCACAGTGCCAGCAAGAGAGGGTCCTGAAGCTGAAGCCTCCTGGGCTTCCAGAGCATCCACCATGGGCAGCCCTGATGCAGGGAAGAGCCACCACAGGATCAAGCCTGAACAGATGGGCTTCCTGAGAAAGACCTTCTGCTTACACATATCAGTCTGCCCACAAAAGACGGGCAGCAGTGGTCCATGCTGGGTGCTGCCAGCCAACATACTGGCATCCCTGTGCCAGTCGGGGCCACAGCAACCTTGGAAAATGAAGCCGAGCAGGTTGGCCTGCTTGGCATCATCTCTAGGGTCCTTGGGAAGGTCAGAGCTGCTCCCTCAGGCTGGCAGATCAGTAGTCTCCTGCAGACATCCCGTTCCGGCCACCACAGGAAGTGATCTCGGGGAATCTCTTCCCTCAAAACACACTTACTAGGCAAGTCCATGATCATGCTTGTTGGCAGGTGAGTAAACCAAAACCTCGACAACTCAAGTAGCTTGCCAACGTCACGGAACTGGTCTGTGGCAGAGCAGGCACACAACTAGTCACAACCGTCCAGAACCCACCTGCTACCAGTTGGATTTTGAAATTGTCTCTTCATTACCTTCCCTCCTGTGCCTCCTGACCAGTTGGTCCTCTCCTGCTCCAATCCATCCCTAATGTGCTGCCAGAAGAGTCTTCCGTTTGGTCACTTTATTTTATTAGGCAGTAACACTAACTAGAGCACTTTGGAGTTTATAGTGTCATCTCCAAAACCTGAAGCTGCCTCGTCCTTCCTTCCGATCCCAATTCCCCCCCCCCTTCTCTTTCCACGTTGCTTTACTACCAATGGTCTTGGTCCTCATCAGGATATTCAGTTAATTGACACTTCCAAGATTTTCCAACCTATTTATTTCCTGTCTATCTTCCCCTCTTAACCTAAATGCCACGATATATCACCTCTCTGGGCCCACACCTTGGTTTGCTTCCCTCTGCCCTCTATCACACCCACCTGGAACACCCTCACCTAGGTCAACCTTACCCTCCTGGGCCTTTTCTGGCCCTAGCTACTGAGCACAGATGTGGCAAGGTATCCAGGGACAGGTGCCACCCACCCTAACACTGCCTGGCGCTTCTTGCTCTAGTGGGTCCTCTTCCCATCCCCATGGCAACCACTTCAGACTGTCACTTCTCTGCAGGTGCACTTTTTCCCCTACTCAGCAGGGGAAAAAATGGAGACCAACAACAAAAAAAGACATTGCATAACTCCCCCCCCCCCCCCCGGTTATTTTGCTGCAGCCGGACTGCGGCAGTAGCTGTTCCCTCGAGTCCCATAAGTGAGCGCGGGCTTCGTCTGACTGAGCCATAGATTATCTGAAATCACGATGTAGTCCACACTGGAGAAGAACCGGTCCTTTTCTTTTTTGATAAGTTCCTCTAGGGTAACAGAACCAGCTTCTTCCATCCCTTCAAGGATGAACTTGAAATTCACAGGGAGATCCTGGGTACACAGAGAAGGAAACCACTGCATGCCCTGCCCACAGTTTAAACATCCAGGATTCATTTGTATTCAACTTGGGTTCATTGAATTCTTGTTTACATTCAACATATGAACCATTTGCCTTTCCAGCATCTCTGTTCACAGGAAGACCTTCTAACCTAAATTGTGGAGGGAAATGCTAGGTGAGGCCTAGTGAATCTCTCCAATGTGGCCTGTCCACTAATGCTCTCATATGGAATTGAGGAAGAAATTTCTAGAGAAAAAGCAGCATCCGCAGCACCGAGCTTTACTGAGCTCTGGAGGGCAGCATTTTCCTCCTTCTCCCCAAAAGGAACTTTTGAAGAAAGTTCTCGATTACAGATCGCCCTCTGCCTTCACATTTCTGCATATGGCAAATGAGAACTTTTTTTTTTTGAAAGATTATTAAGCCTCAGGATAATTTTTCCAGTATCCATTATTTTTCATCTATGATTTCAATCTGCCTTTTAACTTATTCAAAGGCTTCGATCTTGCAGCGAAAAGGAGCTTGAGTTTTTCTCTAGTTAATATTAGGGCACAGAACAGCTCCTTTAAAATTTTTACAACATTCCCCCTTTCCCATCCAGTTTTGATCCTTTTTCTCTGTATAATTTACAGCTTCACATCTTTGAGAGAGAGCTGCATTAAGAGAGGAGACCAAGGTCTTTTGCTAGAGCACAGCAAAGGCTGGGAGGACTGGAACAGGGACCATGTGTGGATGATCCACGCACACGTGCATGCTCCTCAGTCCTCGGGTGGACTGGCTCCTGGGGGGGATCCACAAACGCAGGACTGTGTGTGAGAACATAGGTGACCTTCGTCATCCTGCTGGATAAGAGCCTTTGGGGATAATGATTTACTTAACGTGTTAATATCCCTCTGAGCATCTCAAGAAGTAGTGCTGAAGTTCTGAAATGTTCAAAGGGTCTTTATTAACACACAAGAGCACACAATCACTGAGATATAGTTGGAAATCTTGAGAATTTGCTGGCAAGTCACATTTGATAAAACATGAACCAAACCAATAGTGACTAAGTGTTGGGGGACAACTGGGCCAGCCGTCAAGTTCAGGTTAGGTCTGCTGTGTTCCTCAAGAAACTTAAGACATGTCACTTCTAGGTCACTCAGTTCTCTACCCATGAAATATGAATATTAACACCAACTCTGCCACTAGTGAGATAGCCCCAGGAGGTGTAAGGTATGTTTAAGTTCTCTGTAGGCAAGAAGAAAAGAGGCCCTCAGGAAGGGCCTGATCCTACCACAGAGCCTTTGCACATGTTTCTTTAGTTAATCTTTTCAGGACAACTGTTCCTTGTTCCCCTTGATGAGGAACATGAGGCTCAGAGAGAACAGGGACTGGTCCACAGGTAGTGAATATTTCCTGTGTTTTCTTTGTTATATTTATGTAATTTTCAGAATTGAAATTTAAAAACCAAATCAAACCTTTATATAGGGATTTTAAACTAAACATCGGCATCCAGATGAAAGGAGGGAAGACAGGTGAGGAAAAAGAGGGTGGAGAGAAGCCACATTCACGGCTCAGGGCTGTTAAGTGGGCGCAGCAGGTAAAAAGACAGCTTTGGAGTGATCAGCAGGACCCAGCAGAAATGTTCTAATTACTGCCCTTGCCTTTCTCCGTGAGATAAAGGGGTGAGTGGTCCCCTCCCTTCTCATTGGCTTATGTCTCAGGAGAAAATAAACTCTGGCGAGAGAAGCCCTGGCGTCTGCTCTGTTGGGTCTCCTTTGGGAGAGGTGCTATCAGGGCTTTCTGCCTGGGCTCTTGGGCAGGGCTCGCTGCTCCACACGGCCTGTGTTGGCCCGCCCTGTGGGAAGGTGCCCCGAGACTGAACCCTCCTCTGAGCTCTCCCCAGCACAGGCGAGATGGACCCACAAGGCTGAACCCCAACCTCCTCTGCTTCCGAAATGGGTACCAGTTCCCTTCCGTGCAGGAAAGGCCAGCGGGGTTTGCTCTGTGAATGGAGCCATTTTCTCTTTTGCCCATGAACCCAACAAATGGGTCCCATTTTCTTCTTAAATATTTATTTGTTGAAAGTGCTTAATGCAATCAGTAATGTAAGATGAGGGGAAGGGAGAGAGGCTGTAGATTCTTAAAGTTAGCTCCAAACCATAAAATCCTTCTGCACCAGAACAAATGCTTCATGGTCAATGGATGGAACTGGAGACCATCATGCTAAGTGAAATCTAAATCCCTGCAGGTCCCACCACCCATGAAACCAACACAGAGCCTCATCGTTGTGACCACACCACACTGAACAACAGCAATATTAGCTACTTTGGAATATTTGTGTAAAATATCAATCCCATCATTTAAAAACCACTGGCATCAGACTTCCCGTCAAAACTGCACATCCAGGAGCATTCAGTAATGGGCACCCAGTGAGCTGGCTGCGGGCAGAGGAGAAGCTGGTCCAAAGAGCCCTGAGGAGCTCCTGAGTGCTGAGGCCATCTCTGCCTGTCCTGGAGGTCCTCCTGGGTGGATGAGGGTGAGGCAGCAGTCCCCAGGAGCCTGGAGCCTGCCCTTCAGCCCCAGGACTCTGGCCAGGCCTGGAGCTCAGTATCCCCCACTGTAACACCAGGGAGCAGCTAGCAGGAGGTTTTCCTTGGGGAGAGCCTTGGGAACTGAGGTGAGTGTCCTCCCTTTCCCACGCCATTCCTGGCCTGGAGGCCACCTCCTCTCCTCACAGGTTCCCTGAGCACAGAGCTGGCCCTGCAACAGTGGAGAGATCCTCACTAACAGGTGGCCACATCCCCTGAGTGGGGAGTGAAGAGGCCAGTCTCCCCGCCTCAGCTGGCACCATCCAGACAGGCCACATCTGAGTGCAGTCAAGTGGCAGCGAAGGGCACAGTTCAAATCAGTGACTCACTTCTACAGAACAAAATTCAGGGCCCAGAGAGAGTAAGTCAGCGCCCACAGCCACATGGCTGGGTTTGATCTCAGTGGGAGTCTAAGCACATTCCTTAGGAGGAAACGCTGGTTGAAGACAAAACCGTCCTGTGAGAGCATGGCATGACACAGTTAAAGACCAAACCTAGCCAGGCGCGGTGGCACATACCTGTAATCACAGTGAGACAGGAGGATCTCAAGTTCAAAGCCAGCCTCAGCAACTTAGTGAGGCCCTAAGTAACTCCCTGTCTCTAACCAAAATATTAAAAAAGGGCTTGGGATGTGGCTCAGCGGTTGAGTGTCCCTGGGTTCAATCCCTGATACCAAAACCACAAAAAAAGACACAAACCTCGACCCACCACTGATGCCCTCTAGTGGCCAGAAAGAGTGGGCTCACCCCCCAAAGCTGCTCCCTGCCTTCCTTTCCTAACCCCAATCTGAGCTGTTGGGGGCAGGATTCAGACAGAACGTCAGGTGGCGGAGATTTCTGCCTTGATCACTTACAAAATATCCAACACATTTTAAAAAATATATGTACACATCTATTAAAAAATCATACTCTATGATATGAAGGAAAATAAGGTTAAAAAAAAAGACAAACAGTTTAGAAAAGGACAATTCACAGCTTCACAGCAGATAGTAATGTGGCCACAGGCTGGTCACGGTTTCTGTTGTTTCTAATGTGGTTGACAGGCAGCTGGAACCCATGCTCAGAGCACGTCACTGCACCAGCTGGGCCTCTCCGAGTAAGTTCCCTAAGTTCTCAAGCCTTCCTCCTCCCACCTGTAGAAGGGTGTAACAGTAGTGCCCACCCCCTAAGATGCTGGGGGAAGTAGGTCACACACTGAAGCTCAGGAGGGACACAGTGGGCATCACCACCCTCTTCTCCCCGGTCTGCGCAGCTGGCCACCTACTTGCTCTAGGTCTCTGAAGGCGCTCACAGCATGAATCCAAGCTAGGACGGGGTCTTTGTTGTCTACTGATCCTCGTCCATACAGTTTCCCTTTTAAAATGGGAGAAAAAGAATTAAAAATGATGCATGGACACCTCTGCTAAGCTGAGTGAGTTAAAAACCAATGTGATTTCATGGGTCATGATTTTAACAATACTTTCTAATATTCCAGGCACAAATCTTCCTCTGAAATTGCAAGGTGTGATTTCTTATGTACAATACGGTCAACAGCTAGTCCGGTGGAATAGGCTAGTTTTAAATAAATGGATTCCACTGGCCTCAGCAGTAAGTTTGTTAAGGAAGCCAAGGTTTCTGCAGAGCAGCACATGATGTGGCCATGTGCTCTGGGAATTTACAACTGATAGGATAATGGGAAAAAGTATGTATGTCTCTATCAGTCTTTCTTCTTTTCTGTATAAAATACAAGTTATACTTGTTATCTTTACTCAGCCATAAAGAAGACTGAAATCATGGCATTTGCTGGTCAATGGGTGGAACTGGAGACCATCAGGCTAAGTGAAATAAGCCAGCCTCAGAAAGTCAAGGGTCAATGTTTTCTCTCATATGCAGAAACTAGAGCAAAATAAGGGGAAAGAGGGAGCTGGATATCATAAAGATAAAGGGACGATCAGTGGAGTAGAAGGATGAGATAGAGAGGGAGGAGGGATGGGAAAGGGGAGGAAATGCAGATGAATCTGACACCATCACACTATGTGCATGTGTAAATATACCAGTTAATTCCATGTGCATGTTTGTCTATAAAGTACCCGTCAAAAATAAATAAACCAGTGAAAAGACGACCAGTAGAGGAATGAGAATGGGGGAGACAGAAGGGGAGGGAAGGGGGAACCAGGAACTGAAATGGAGTAAGTTAAATTCCATGCATGTATGATTTTGTCAAACTGAACTCTGCTACGATGTATAATTATACTGTACTAACGAAAGGAAACAGTTCCATTTACAAAAAGGATAGGGAAGCCGGGTGTGGTGGTGCACGCCTGTAACCCCAGGAGCTAGGTAGGCTGAGGCAGGAGGATCCCAAGCTCAGAACCAGCCTCAGCAACTTAGTGAGGCCCTAAGCAACTTAGCAAGACCCCATCTCAAAAATAAAAAATTAAAAAATTAAAAGGGCTGGGCTGGGTGGTTGAGCACCTCTGGGTTCAATCCCTGTACTGGAAAAAGAAAAAAGAAAGTTGTCACCTAGATAAATGTCTTCCTCGCACCCAAGGGCCCTATGCAGGGACACAGAACTTCTTAGTTTCTTTCACAAATGAAAGAAAATCAGCCCCAATGAACCAACTATGGAACCCAGCGCCTTGTGCATGCTGGGCAAATGCTCCTGCATGGAGCTACACCCTGGGCTTCTGTTCACCCTTCTATTAGTAGTTGCTGTTTTGAGTGCTGGGGATTGAACCCAGGGCCTCCTATGTGTTAGGCAAGTGCTCTCCCCCTGAGCTATATCGTCGGCCTCTTCAATTCACCCTTCATGACACTGAAAGACCTGGAGCCTGGGGAAAGAGTCACACTTTAAATCCTTAACCCCTGTGAGCAAGCTCTACCCACAGATGAGCAGGGTGCTGAGGAGTCACTGACCATCCACCTCCGTCGGCGTGTAGGGGTCCGTGAGCCACCCCTCGCTCTCCTGAGCCGGCCGCACATCCAGGTGCCCATACAAGCACACGGTGGGTTTCTTCGGATCATTCCCCAGTTCAGCCAGGATGATAGGAGGGATGGGAAGACTCTGGCCATCGGGCAGCTGCAGGAAGATGATGGATCACATGGTTTAAAAACCTCCATGGTCCTTCCAGAAGACTCAGAACATGACGTTAGGAATCTGTTCCTTCTGTCCCTGGGTTGCTGAAGGGCCTGTGTCATTTTTCTGAGCCTCACTGTCTCCATCTCTAAAATGGGTCCCATTAGACACTTTTAATAAAAATATAAATCATTGGGCTGGGGATGTGGCTCAAGCGGTAGCACGCTCGCCTGGCATGCGTGCGGCCCGGGTTCGATCCTCAGCACCACATACAAACAAAGATGTTGTGTCTGCCGAAAACTAAAAAAATAAATATTAAAAAAATATATATATATAAATCATAATTAAAAGCCAAGAACTTCCTTAGGTACACACTGACAGACAGTATAGTTAGTAGGATGTATTCTTCAATAAGAACTTAGAACACAACTGGCTTAAAGTAGAATCCTGGAAAATTTGGAGAATTCTGAAGTTCTTCATGCTGAGCAGGTGGCACTGGGTGCTTAGATTTAGGATTGCCATTAGGAGTTGTGTGGCTTTGGGCTTAGGGCTGCCATTGGGGATAAGTGGCATCAAGCTTAGGGTTGTCATTGGGGATGAGTGGCATCAAGCTTAGGGTTGTCATTGAAATGGGTGACATCAGGCTTAAGGTTGTCATAGGAATGGGTGGCTTTGGGCTTAGGGTCACCATCAGGGTTGAAATGGCAGTTTTAAGCAATGATTTTGAAGAAAGAATGCAGTTCTTAGAGACCCTTGGAGAATGACCCTTGGAGAAAGTTGCATATGAATTTAAGGGAAAGGACAAGTGAGTTGAGATGTGACACTCAGGGGCGGGTTGGGGCCTTTCCATAACACTGTTACCTTCACTCACCGCCTCCATTTGCTTTCAGCCTCATCCCCCACCCCGGCCCCAGGCCTGCTCTGGAAGGTGCTTCCTCCTTCCTGGGAATCAGCACTCTGAGGGTTGGGCTGAGGAGCAGGGTAAGCCCCTCTCTTGCCGAAGAAGGCAAGGTGGGTGGCCACAGAAGTGGTTCCTTCACTGGAGGGCAACCCGCCCGCCGGCACCTGCCGCGAGCCCAGGTCCCGGATTCCACGCTTGCCTGCAGCCATGGCCATCATCCGGAAGAGCTCTTGTCTGAAACGAAGCACTGGTTGGATGGAATCGCTCTCCACCGCCACCCACTCCTTCAGCGTCTGTGAGGAAAGTCAGGAGGGCATTAGCATGGGGGGATCCCATATTCCCTTGGGGGGAAGCGATTCAGGGGCAGGGACTGACTAGTCCCCGGCTCTTCTGTGTCGACGTCCTGTGCACTGTGACACTCAGAGGCAACTGACAGACACACTCGGGTTTAATCAAGACCCAGAGGCCAGAGGCGCTGGTTAGGACAGAGCACGAGGGGGCACAGTGGAGGTCCAGGGTGGGAGGCAGTGCGGCCGGGTCCACCTCCGCCTGTGCCAGTCTCGGGGCTCTGACAACCCTTCTTTCAGGCTCAGTTTTCTCATCTGTCCTATAGAATGATGCTCCCTAACCATGAGAAACGATAGCCACGAGCTGTCACACTGCGAGAGGACCAGCGTGTCCCTGGCACTTACCAGCTGCCCTATTCAGTAAGCACCAGCTAATATGGAGCCATTAGTGAAGACCTCTCACATTCCGTGCTGGAACCCAACCCGCTTATCCTGGGACAGGATTGTTTTATGGAAAGCTACACATATTTTGACTGGTTGATCTTGACTCCACTTAATCTTGACTCTACTTCCTAATTTATTTTAGTTTGATCCCTCTTTCCTAGAGGGTGCACTTTCACTTTTATTTTAAGGGAACTTATTTAAGGAAAACTGTGTTCTGTATTTCTCACCTGCAACCTCAGCAGGTGCTGTGGGGTTCTCCACCCTGAGTGGGCCTCCGTGTGTTGGAAGAGGCCAGGACGAAATGTGGCCAAAAGCCCAAATCAGCCTCCAGCCCTGTTAATTTCAACCTACTCTGGAAACCCCGCTGGGGTTCTGAAGATCCAAGCAGGCTTTCTGCAGGTTTATATTCCTGTAGAAAGAAGGATTATGCGAAGGTCAAGCTCAGGAAGAGGGGTCTGGACATTCAGTTTCGTGCCATTAGCATGAAACAGGAAGGTTTCACGTCTGTTTGCATGATAGTGTTTCCCGGTTTGGCTGATCCAATGAACGCCTATCATGTATGTGCCAGACACAGGGTGGGGGACCCCCGGCTGGTGAGCACAACAACAACACTCATTTGGGGAGGCCTGTGGTCACACGGCCAGATGCCCAGGGAGGGCACAGGAGGCAGAGTAGAAGGAAGGGAGAGGGAAGCAACCCAGTGAGAGGGTGGGCACTGCAGGTGCCTGCACCTTGTCACCCACTCGTCCCTCCCTCTTCTGCTCCCTGGCCCCCTCTCTCCCTTCCTCCTCATCCTCCTTCCTCCCCTTCTCCATATGCCTGTGCCACGTGCCCACAGGTATGATAAGAGAGGAGACCAAGTGCTCCCTGGACTGCACCACAGACAATGCTGACAGCAACTGTCCAGGGCTCTCTGGACCCCAGCTCCATCTGGACCTCGCCAGGGGCCTCGTGGCACTGCTAGTGGGCCACCTGAGGGGCCAAAGCAAGAGAGAGTCCCACAGAGTTGCTGGTCATCTCTACAGGGGCAGCTGAAATGAATGCACCAGGGATGGACAGAGTGCCCTTTCCAGGAGCAGTGGCCAGGAGGGAGCTCTTCCGCAGACCTGATGGACCATGGTTATCTTTATTCAACCCAGGGTCACAGGCATTTTCAATGGAGCCAAGTTGTTGGCACAAAAGGTCCCAGAGGGCGTGACTGACGCACCGAAGCACAGCTTCTCCTACCTGCACAAATTCATCCTGGTGGAGGTCGATGCGCTGGCAGAGCTCCCCCAGCAGCCCGGAGGGTGGAGGAGGGAACACGCCGCCCTCCAGCAGCAGCAGCAGCAGCAGCAGCAGCAGCAGCGCCAGGAGACAGGAAGCCTGTTAAAGTTGATGGGCACATTCAAAATACGTGCTGCTTCTGGGCTTTTGACCTTTCCAAAGCTCTGGGAAGGCTGTTATCCAACCCTGGATTACCAGGGATCTTGAAACGGTGGATGGATGGTGGTGGATCTTGAAACGCACTTTCTCCTGCATCTTTCTCAGATACTGCATTTCCAAAGCTCAAGGATTTTAATAAGACAGAAACCAAGCTCATGAGCTGGTCTGCAAAGCATGTGACTCGGGTTATTCCTGTGACAGGATGGTTCTGTGCCTCTGCACCCTGTGCAGGAAGACCAGTGCTCTGCATCCTGCGTGAGGGGCAGAGGCAGAAAGACGTGGGAGGTACAGACAGAATCAACAGCAGCCCTCAGAAGCCCTCTGTGATGAACCACTTAGGAATGCCTACAGTCCCGCAGTGCTGTGGGGTTTCTTCCCACCAGCTCCAGCAACTGGAGTGCTCTAGAAGGAAAGAAAGCAAACGAAACTCATATACCTGCCTGTGATTGATGACATTAAGGACAGCCCTGGCCTGGGTCATGGGCTCTGTCTTTCTGACTCCCTGCCCCCTTCTCTCCATTGCCTCCAAATGAGGGACCTGCCATGAGCCTGGTCTTCCCTCAGGGCCCTCCTCCCTTCTCCCAAGACAGGCTCCAGGTGGTACACGTGGCCTTACCTGGCTGCACGGGTGGGATGACTCCACCTGTTCATGTAGTGGTACTCAGGGGAGGCAGTTCTCCCCGGCCCTGCGTGTTCCCTGGCCAAGTGAGCAGAGTGCGCCCCAGGCAGTGGGACCCCCAGAGCCCTGCGCAGCCCACGGGAGCTGCCAGCAAAAGTCCCAGGAGCTCGATGCGCAACTGGAGGAGGGAGGCCGGCAACTTCTCCGCTTGGTGGAGCTGCAGCCACCTGGGGGAAGGTCTCCAGGTGGTTTCCAGGATTCCCCTGCCTGGGTCCTTCCTCCCTCTCTCTCACTCACCTCCACCCATGGGAAGGTAGACACCTAAAAAATCATACATTAAAAACATCATGACTTTATAATCTAAAATAGCTCACTTAAAAATGATAAAAGATGGAGTTTCAGGGTCTAAAATAATAAGGCAGACCTTGTGTTAATCTGTCCCCTTTTTTCCTACAACAAAAAAAAGGGTGGGTCTGTCTCCTAAATCAGAGTCTAGCTGGTCACCAGGGGACAGCCAGCGTCATACCCAGAACCTTGGTGGACTGGGGGATTACAGACTCACAACGTGCCAGACCTTCCTGTTCTGACTGATGATTACCTGAAGGCATCGTGAACTCATCACCTGGTTGTAAAGAGCCCATTCAGGGCTGAGTCCTCTGAACACAGAGGCATAGTCCTGGTGAGGTGCCAAGACTGCCCACAGGCTGCCTCTGCTCAGCCGGCCAGGACCAGAGGCCAATGCTCAGAGTGAGGTGGAGCAGAGAACACCAATCTACGATGCGAAGACCTCCAGGTTCAGAGAAAAATCAGTGTCTTCTCCAAACCAATTCTCCCTTCTGGGTTTTCATGTAGTTTTTAATAGATTTTATTTTTAAAGATTAAGGTTCCCATAAAATTGAGTAAAAAGTCCAGAGATGTCCCACTTTTACCCTATCACAAACACACAGCCTCCCCCATTATCAATGTGCCACACAGGCACATCACTCTAACACAACGTCCGCAGATGACATTCGGGTTCCCTCTGGGTACTGTGCATGCTACACTGTTGTACACAAGCACAGTGACACTCGTTTGCCATGTCACTATCTGGCAGAGCCTATGTGCTCTGCTTATGGGTCCCACCCCGCCCACCCTAGCAACCTCTGGTCTGCGGGCTGTCTCCATGCTGTGCCGCTCCCCAGGTCACGGGGCTGGAATCGCACGCACGCTGACTGTCAGACTGCCTTCGTTCACGTCAGGCTGAGCACTGAAGTTGCTTCCACGTCTCTCCATGGCTTGACAGCTCATTTCTTTTTAATGATGCACACCATTCCATTGTCTGCAAGTAGATTTTTGTGCCCCTCTGTTGTGCAGGAAAAGCATGGACCCTGGAGCCAGCAGCTCCAAGATCTTGCAGTCTTGTCTGTCTCTAGTGCTATGCTGACATATGCCCCTGGAGTGACACCTGTGGCATGCACTGCAGGACAGTTGAGATTTTGGGTCTAAGTGTCCAGCACACAGTAGACCCAAATCCTTTTGTATTCCCCTTTCCCAAGTTAATTTTTTTCTAAAAAAAAAATAAAAATATGATCATCATGTTTCTCTTTAGACTAAAAGAGAAAAGCAAGTCTGTGGAGCTCAATCGATGGCTGCCTAAAACATAAGGCTAGACAAACTGGTGTGGCATCTGAGGCCAACTCGACACTCTGCACTTAGCACCAGACTTGTGCACATGCTCCCAGGGGGACCACGGGGATACAGAGAGGGGGAAGATGCTGGACACGGACTCTCTCACGGAGCCAACAGTTGCTAGCAGACTGACCACTCTACAGGGGACAGGAGAGCATGAGCATCCAGGGGATTAGAGAGCCGAAGGTGTCCCATCCCTGTGAGCACATGCATGGGCCTGGGGCACCAGGAGAGTCCGAGGCAGCCCTAACGTCTGGTCCACTCATGACCAAAGCCATTTGTTTGGGCCTGAGTTCTGTGTCCTACAGAGATCAAAGGTCTGTGAGATGCAGGGCTTCTCTTGGGTCCTGGCCTGATGCTCTGGGCCTGAAAACATCACAGGGTCCAGCATGAGGTACGTCTGAGAGTCCCTGGGAACAGAAAGGAAGGAACTGTCCTACATTGTCCTGGCCAAGAGGGGTCATCGTGCCCACTTTCAGAGGCTGCCCGGCAGGTTACCTACCTTAGGACGGAGCATCAGCAAGTCTGTTTGACAGACAGGAGGTGAACATTTCACGCTCCCAGTACCGACTCAGAGAGCCTCCACTCACTCTCAACACAGCAGCCAGATGTCTTTAGAAGGTGGGTTAGATCCTGTCACTGCTTGTTTTAAACTCTCTCGAGAACTTGGGAAAAACCCAGCTGCTCACCTGGCCTCCCTGGGCTGACACGATGGGGTCCGCCTGCCTCTGCAGGCACAGTGCCGGTGCTGGAGGGCACCAGGTGTGGGTCTCCTCATCACTTGCTCCTGCTCCCCAAACACCACTGGCCGCAGCCAACTCCACTCCTGCACTGTCCTTTGACCTCTGGGCCCCAACCAAGCAAAGGTGAGAATCAGAACTGACTGACTTTCTCGTCAGTCCAAAGAGAACTGCACACAGCATGCGTGTCCTTATGCAGGAGAGGGTGCACCTTTCCAGCCAAAACGTCCCTTAGCACAGGATGAAACATCACCAGCCAAAAGTAGCACAGCTCCCAGGTGACATGCCTCCTATCAGGTGGACACTGCAACGAGGGAGGGGTGTTTTCAGAAACTCTCTGGATAGGATTCAGCTCACATAAAGTCTGAGAGACCACAGAGAATCCCGTGTTCACAAAACAAGAAGGCTGAGAGAGAGAGAGCAACTTTGAGTAAGGGGGCGTAGGTAAGAGGCAATGAATTAAATAGAATTGAAGATCTGAAAATAAAGCCTCATATTTATGATCAATTGGCTTTCAGCAAGGGTGCCAAGATAAGTCAATGGGGAAAGAAGGGACGACCCAAATGTCCCTCAGCAGACAAATGGACCAAATGTGGATCGTCCATGTAATGAGATATTATTGGGCATCCAGTGGGATGAAGGGCTTGGCATGAAAAGGAATGAAGTTCTGACACTTGCTACAACGTGGATGGGCCTTGGACACATTGTGCCAAGTGAAATAAGCCAGGGCTAACTATTGTGTGATCCCCTTATGCAGGAGACGGTGTACCAGAAGAGTAAATCCCTAGACAGAAAGTAGATCATTGGTTACCTGGGGGCAGGGTGGGGTGGGGTGGGCTTGGGGAGTGACTGATAATTAGTAAGGAGTTTCTTTGTGGTTGATAAGAATATTTCCAAACTGTGGTGATGGTTGTACAGCTCTGAATGCACTAAAACCCATTAAAATGCTTACTTTATATGAGTGAAGTGCAAGGTATATGAATTCCATCATAATACAGGCAAAAAAAAATCATAATCACAAATACAACCACTCATTTGACAATAGGAATATAATGTTATGAGGGATGCATATAAGGTAGTTGAATAGTGGCTGTCATGTATAACTAATTAGAACAAACAAAAAATAAATTAAAAAAATGATAGCCCATCAGAGGGGAAAAGTTCACAGTGAGGTTGGGCTGTTCACGAGTGGATTAAGGACACAGACCACTAGATGGCGCTGATGAGCCGTTCCCCGCCCGGTTTCCCTGAGCTTCTGGGACCCAGCCAAGAGCCAGATGGCAAAGAAGTCAGGTGGGAAGGACACCTAGAGACCTTAGTGGCAGGAAACGGAGCTCAGGGCACGGAGGGATCTTCCAAGCAGACTCTGAGATGGTGTAGGCTGTTTTAACTTTTATTTTTCATTCAATTTCCATCAAAACATTTACTTGTTGCTTCTCTCCAAAGAAAGATGAAAAGAGAAACAAGAAAAAGGAAAAGAATGAAAACAGCATTTATACACAGACCGAGAATGTTTCCAATTTCAGTGGGCGCTGCCTCCTGGGCGGGGGAGAGGTCTTGCTCCTGACAGCAGAGCTCATGCCCTACATTCCCACATCCTTCTCCGTTTCTCTCCCTTTCCCCACAGGTACCAACCAAGGTGACAGCGCAGTCTGCATTGGTCCTCCAGCCCCCGAGGTCAATGCTGGCCATGAATGTGGCCTTCACCATCTCTGGGTGGGATTTCTGGCTCTGCCCACTTGTTCTCCTCTTGCTCTTTACTTTCTGTTTGTTTTCTGTGTGACCGACATGCTTGATCTTGAACTAGTCATCCACTGAAAATCTGGAGATTTAGAAGGGTCACTCTGGTTTTTGCCTTTGCAGGAAGAAGAAAAAGGAGCTAGGGACAGAAAGGTGACATGAAAGACTGGAACTGGAGACTGGGCAGAGAGAGGTCTGATCTCAGTGTTTCCTTGACTACATGAGCCCACAGGCTCCTCTTTATTCCTGCCGGTTGCTTAGATTTGAAACAAAGTTCCAAGTGTCCCTGTGCAAAGACATTTTTAACTCTTCAGAGGAGGGCCACATCCTGGCCATGTGCACCCTGCCTGCCCTTCCCCAGAGTGAGGGCGTGGGGAGAGCACCCCAGTCTTCTTGGCCTTTCGACATCTGCTCTTCCTCTCTCCTCCACTTGCCAGGCTTCTCGCCTGCCTGATGCATCCCTCTGTTGTGGATGGCCCTCCATGTCTGTCTCCTGCCACAAAACACCAGCCAAAAGCAAGCTGGGCGAGGGGTGCTGGGAAAAACCCATACTGCGCTGACGCTGAACAGTGGGAAAGGAAAGCCCGGCCGTCCCCAGCCCCGCGGTCTCCAGCAAGGACGGACGGCCTGCAGCCCAGGAGCACACTTCAGTGCTGGGGACAACGTGGACACCAAGAACTCTGTTTGCCAAGTCCTCTAGAGTCCTCATGCTCTCACTTGACAGAGTGCCGTTTCTGCCTTGGTGAGCTTTGTATAACAGGAAAATGTGGTTTTTAGCTGAGTTTGTCTCCTCAGCACAGGATTTAAAACAATGACAGAAACAGGCTCTTCTGGATTCTTTCATCCTGCAAGCAGAGCCGAGCCTGGGATTCCTGCCCATAAGCAATGCAGCAAGTCCAGAAGGAGGCAGTTAGGGCAGGTCCCCTCAAAGAGCAGCCACGAGTAGTGCCAGAGGGAAGGAGCAGCTAGTAAGAGCAAAGTTCTCCAGACAGTTCCGAGAACCACGGTCTCTGCACCACTCTCAAGTGGGATCTGGCCAGCAAATGCAATGCCAGAGGGCCTTTGGCTGAGGCCAGGTTTGGTTTAAACTCGTTTCTGAACTGAACACAAGTCCCACACACCTCCCTGCGTTCGGATGTTTGGGTGTGCCAGCAAAGGATATCACCTGGCTAGGACCTAGCCGGCCACGAGGCGTTCAGGAAGACGTTCTCCAGAAGCCATGGAGGGGAACCTGAGCCAGGCACGGGTCTCTCCGGGTTCTTCAGCTGGTGTGGACCTTAGCTGTAGCACTTACTGACTGGCTGGCTCAGGCTGGCAACAGGCTCCGACTCAGACAACAGGGTTTGCCACGCACCGTGGGGGTTGGCAGGAGAGGGCGCATGAACGCCATCTGGCACTTCTAGTCTGAGGTCCTCTCTGGAGCATTCCATCCTAGGCAGAAGACAACTAATCTGGTTGCCCCAAGGCCCAGGTGGGCTCAGGTGGCCCCTGGCTGTGTGAGGGTGGGCCATGGGGAGGGGAAAGTTGCATTGTCATTGTGAGATGCTGGCAGCACTAACTGCACCAGTGCCACCTCCAGCCCTTTTGTCCCCTGAGGTCTCCACAGATCAGCCAGAGAGATTGCCCAGGTTGGCACCACTTCCAGAGCCTTCCAGCAAACGTGAGGCAGCTTGGAGCACAGTGACAAATAAGGCCAGAAAAGAAAAGATGTGAGTGAAATAACCAGATTCCTATTCTTTTTAACCCCCTCTCCCATAGGAAGGAACCTATCATCAATTAAATTGATACACTGAAATATAGTACAGGAGTGACAGTATTGTCACCAGATTAAGCTGGATTATGTAACTAAATGCAGTGGCACATGCTTATAATCCCAGCTGCTCAGGAGGCAGAGGCAGGAGGACCACAAGTTCAAGGTCAGTCTCAACAACTTAGTGAAACCCTGATTCAAAATGAAAAATAAAAAGGAGTTGGGAATGTGGCTGAGTACTAAAGCACTCCTCGTCCCATCCTCAGTGCTGAAACAAACAAACAAACAAAAACAGATTGTGAGATCCTCAACACCAGGAATGCTTCTGATTCTGAGCCTAGAACAGGGCATGGCTTCTGATTTTGAGGGGTGACAGGTGGAAATCCCAAGTGATTGAGGGTGGTGTGCCAACACAAACTCAAGCCAGGTGAGTTGCCCCCTTGGGCTTCAGCAGCTGGGCTAGCCCTGAGCCACAGCCTGCTTCTTGTCCTTAAAGTCTTGAGAAACTGATGTGACTCCATTTTTGAAAATAAATAAATAACAGCAGCTTCTACCTCAAGGCTGTCCTAAGGAAGGGGGCGTGACCTTTGTCCTTGGAAAAACCCACAGAGCCCTCCTAAGCACATACCCTGCTGAGTTGTTTGTCTGCAAATAACAGGAGAGATCTGCTGCGCCAGGTGTCCCTGACTCAGTTAGGCTAGGTGAGGACCCATAGCAACCCCCTAGCAACCTCCAATCAGCATAAGACAGGGAAAATACCGGGGATGCCAGATGACCACCCAGTAGTTTATGGTGTTGATAACGTGTTGGGAAACCATGTAGTTTAGCACGTACGCCCCTCGTGGCCTAAACCAATCAGTTCAAAGGAATCCCCCTCTTGTACTAACCAATCACCCCTACCCAACTTGTTCCCGCCAGTGAATGTGCTAACCAATGTTAAGAGTTGTTGTTTGATTTTCCCGCGGTATGGAATGATTTGCTGTGTGATGTTGTGACACAGAGAGGATCCTCCCAAAACCTATAAAATCTCACTGAACAAAGGACCAGGACTCACTCCCTGGGACCGCTGCGTCGGGAAGAGTTGTGAGTCTAGGCTCGAGCTTGCAATAAAGACTCTTGTGTGATTGCATCGGATTCTGCTCCTGGAGGTCTATTGGGGTCCCATGAACCTGGCATTACAGTCTCACTGTAGTGATTTTGTGTTGAAGTGTTAAAATGCATGTAAACGCCTGCAGGGTAGACTGAGTGACCTCAGGGAGCAGCAGAGGAGACCCAGGCAGAACAGAGATGCAGGACGTGCTAGAGCCAGCGGAGGCCCAGACTCAGGCCTGATGACAAGGAAGGGGATGGAGATGTTTCCAGGAGTCAGGAGGGGGGGACCCTGAGGCAGGGTGGAGGCACCAAAATGCTGAGGTCGCTGAAGAACACCTTTCTGTTCCTAGGAAACCGTAATTACCTCGACTTGCTTTAAAGTGTATCTTCTAAGCCAGTAAGCTCAAAGCAAAGTTGTCCTGACCTCAAAGCCCAGGGATTTAGCTGCCCTTGCCACCTGGGAAGCGAAGCCCAAAGGATTAGGGCAGCATGAGTCAGGGCTACTCCTAGGATTTGGTCACAGGTTATTATTGGTTGTGAACCCAAGTTCAACATACGGAAGGGCAGATATTCACAGAGAGGGCAGGGACTTTTCTACCTCTTTCTATCAGGGTCCTGGGCACCTGTAACACTTCACAAACTGGACAGCTGAAACAACAGAGGCTCATCCTTTCACAGTCTGGAGTCCACAGTCCCAAATCCAGGTGTGGCCAGGGCCGTGCTCCCTCTGAAGGCTGTGGTGGGGCTCCTTCCCGCCTCTCCAGCTCCTGAAATCCTGGGCGTTTCTTGGATTTTGTCTGCACCGCCCAGTCTCATGGCCAGCTTCTCTCTGTGTCTCTTCTTCTTAGAAGGACACTCGTCACTGCATTTAGGGCCCACTGGAAACCAGCATGACTTCATTTTAACTTCTCACATCTCAAAGATTCTATTTCCAAACACAGTTGCATTCTGAAGTTCCAGGTGGACCCAGGGGATATCATGCGGACGGACATGGTCCAACGCAGCAGGCTGGCTTTTCTTTCCCTCATCACCACCTAGCACTTTCTCACTTGTTTACTAAATTATCTGCATGACTTACTTGTGTGAACATGAGCGCTGTGGGGCCGTGACCTGTCTCCCGTGTCACCACACCTGACGTTGACGCCTGTTCTCCCCCCAGTCACGTCAGGTTTCCTCTTATTCCTCGTTCAGTTTCCCTGTGGGCGCGAGTGTCCATCTTGCTCAGTCCTCAGTGTGGGGCTCAAACTGGACAGTTCTAATTCTGTAAAATGGCCACTCTCCTTGGGAACAACTCAGCTAGCCCTGCTTTCTTCTTCCTACAGGGAGTCAGTCCTTTTCATCTCTTTCCCTCCGGAGAGCTTAGCTGGTCTCCTCCGCCCTCGCCCCCTTGTCGCTCTGCTCTGTGTCCTGGGCAAATGCATTTTAGTCCCTTAGTTCTCTGTCTTTGCTTGTGCCTAGTCTACAACTTACACGACCTACTGAGCTATTTCAACGGCGATTTTTCATGCTCAGGACTTCTCATTGGTAGTTTTCATATCCATCTGTTCTTGCTTCATATGTACTTATTTAACTTTTGTAATTTCTTATTCTTTGACATGAGTGTTAGGCTTGCATTTTTCTCTTGGCAATTTTAAACGTACTTCAGGGGTATCCATTTTACGTATGCCCTACAGTTTGCATTTCGGTGACAGTAATCTACTTCCCAATTAATTTTAGGGGCCATTTTTCTTCTTACTTGCCTTTTGTATTTTGAGGGCTCAGAAAACGTACCCCAAAGTGTGGTATTTTGACATGCTGAGCTGCAGAGTCTCGGGAGCAGGTTTAACTCCTCCACAGCCAGTCTCTGGATCCTCTCTGTCCTTATTCTCTTCTGAAGCCTAGGAAGGGGCTTTTCCTCAATTTCCAGATCTACCAAAGATCTTAGAATTGTCCCAAAAATCCTTTGCTGGAATTTTACTAACAAAGGAAGATTAAATTTTTATCATGGATGAAGAGACTGGAAATCAGAGCCCAGAGGAACTTGGTCTCAAACTATTGTATCATCTTGGAGTCATTAATTTCTCCCCAGATCCACCTATTCCCCTCTAGAATTGCAGGAAGCCCTCACACCCTCTTCCTATGAAGAAGATTTTAACCTTCAACCGTCTGGCCCTCTTCTTGGGCTTCATTTTTGGTGTGGCTCATGTAAACATGTACACCTTAATAAACCTGCTACGCTTTTCTCTTGTTAAACTGCCTTTTGTCGTAAGAGTATCAGCCATGACCCTTTATAACCGGCAAAATGGGAGCACCGCTTTTCCTGGCCCTCTGGGGTACGCTTGGGATATGCACTGGCTTGGCTGGGAGGCAGGAGTATCGTTCTCCTCTCTGCAATGACTGCTCTCTAGATACGCTGTGATCCTCCACTTGGTGCTTGGAGGTGCCCATTCCAGGTCCAACACTGGTGACTCTGAGTTCCCATGCAGTGCCAGCTGGGAACTGTTGTGGGGCAGGTCGCTCAGAAAACACACTAAGTCCCAGTTTTGTCCAAATTAAAGAGTCTTTATTTAGCTGGCCAGTTGGACTGCTCCCCACAGGACCCATAACTGTCTCTGCAAGGAACAGCCCCAATCCTGAGCATTTTAGGATATTTAAAGGCAAAAACCACATCTGGGTTGACGTAGCTGCAAGCAAGCAGGTCCAGAAGCTGAAGTGAGCAGTTAATGAGACAACGCAGTGGGTACACTGGTATTTCCCACAGGACTTTCCAGGTTGGCATAGCAGCAAGCAAGCAGAAGGGAAGTGGGTCAAAATGACCCTAGCTGAGTACGAAGTTGAAGAGTGATTACTAACATCTAGACAATCCATCTCTGACAAGGTACATTGCCCAAGAAAAATGGAAACCAAAGAGGACAATTTTACATTGTATAAGAATTACTATTTTGTGTTGCCAAGTATGTTATGCTAGGTTTCTATTAATAGGTACAGAGGCGGGGCTTTGCCACCAGAGAAGCATTTCTTACATGGTATGGAGTCTTAGGGTAAAATGGAGTCTGTTTGGTCATTGCCCATATAGCCTGGTCCATGACAGGAACTAGTCTGTCCCTGAGTTGCATACACTTGGGCTCTGCTTGCCTTCTGCATCTGGGGTGCTTTTGGTACCTGCTTTTGGTGGGACTCTCATTCCTTCATGCTGTGGCCCAGCCAATCTGCACCTTCAGCCCCAGATCATCACTGTATGTTTTGTCTTGTATCCCTTAGTAGTGTCATTAGTGGGCTTTTAAGTTTATTCCTTTTTGATTTAAGTTTTAAGGTACATTCAGTTGCTTTGTTGGTAATTTTAAGAGAACTTATATACTAGCTTGATCACAATTTGCCTACAAGGATATGGCTTCCTGAAAGATGATGTCCCCATGTGTGGGAAGCCACCCGCAAAATGTGCATAGAACAGATGGGCACTGAAGCCATTGAACGGGAAGATCTGGTATCTGGGAACACACAGCAGCACTCCTGCTGGTGAGATGACCTGATACATGTGAACTCCTACCCAGCTCTGCTCAAAACACCAGACATGGGCGTGACCCGTTAGCCAAACAGCCTGCCTACCTGCACATATATCCTGTTTTTCATGAAGAAGCAAGCACGGAGACAAGACTCCTCCCACACGGAGACCTTATACCTACCAATCCCCTTTGACCTGTACCCCTATAAATAAAGCAAGCATGGGCTCCATCTTTGTTAGAAGCTGCACCCGTCTGGTGAGCTGGTCTGTTGCTGCTCTCGCTCTGAAACTATATTTCTGTCTTCTGTGGTTATTTCATGGTACTATTTCTTAGCTTTTATTTCTCAGCCAGCCCATCCCCCTGGCTGATGCAGGACGTGTGCAAGACCCATGCTGACCTGCGTCCTGTGCTCAACATTGCAGACTCCACAGGAAGTGCTACCTGTTACCCAATGCAGACTTTCCTAAGTAGGAAATGGGCAGGGATAAGCTGAAGACCAGAGGTCAAACGGAAAAGGTTGCATGCTCCAATCACTAACCTTACAAGGCATCAATGTTCGTATCTTGGATATCCCCAGCTTCCATGGCCAGGACTGGGAATTATTCATAACTGGGGTCCTGATACCAGGAGCGCAAGATCCAAACCCCAACCTGTCAGCAGGACCAACGTCCAACGTCAGGTGAAGTGTTGCCTATATCAGCTCTCCTGAGTGGACTTGTGGCCTGTGGTACAAAGGGCAGATTGGATAACGAGTGCCCAAAGTACACTGTGAAGATAAACACCATGGACTCTGGACCTGGGGTGCCCGGGGCACAGGGGTCACTCCTGGGTGGTACCGGGGCCTCCTTCTCACCTATGTTCTCTGGAGAATTTCATTGTACAGACTTCTTCTTAACACCATCTCTCTCCTCTTCTCCTTACACCTACTCCCTGAGGCATTCTGGATCCCATTCCTTAGCGGTTCAGCAGGGGACAGTCAGCTTGATGGTGCAATGGTGCCAGAAGCCCAGTATGTGTCCCTTTCTGAACCACTCATGTACCTTGAAAGTTGCCTCTGTTTTAACCAATGCACTTTGAATCTTTTGAAAGAGTGATTGAGAAGCTGGACATTGGGGCATTGTGCTCTGGGGACAGAAGTCCCTCTCTTTGTGTATAAAGGTTACTTCCCTCAGTTTGTGCAGTGCTGGGATTGGGTAGGAAGGTCTTTAGGTTAAAGCTCCCTAATGCAACACTTCTCCAGTCCTCCCTGAAACACTGAGACTAAAGTACAACTGCTTGGCCAGCTTCCGGCACATAAGTAACATGCCCACATTTCTGTCTCAGGGCTCAGACAGGTGGAGGCAGCTTCTAGAGGGTGGAGACTGGAGCTACCACAAACCCTCTTCTTCCTCCCGCCCCCCCCCCCACCTCTCCAGGAGCCCAAGTGCCAGCCCCAGGTGAGCCTCAGCTCCTGGTGGCACCCTGGTTCCTTGGGGTAGAGGTGTGGGCCAAGGGGCCATGGGGTACCTCATGAATGGGGTGGGGTGTGGAGCAGCCTCTCTGCCTGTGACCTGCTGGGTGGCTGCTCCACCTGAAGGCACAGCATGCCCTGGGGGGAGCTGGCAGCTGTGTCTTTCCCAGCCATGGTGGGGTTCATATCATCACTGAACTGCACATATCCTCCTCCTAGCCCAGGAGCCTGAGGCTGCCCTCACAGCGAGCCCACAGGAGGAGAGAGGACCCCACCCAGAGCCTCTCTTTTGGAACCATCAAGTTTCTGATGTGAACAGTGGAGGGTGCCCTACAACCAAAGGCTCGCAGGCTCTCCCAAGTCCCTCCGTGGGATTCCTTACCATGTGGTTCATCAACAGAATTCTAAACTCTCTACCATGGGTTGTGCTAAAACACTGTGATGAAGGAAAGTTGGCATCCCTTTATTAGGTAAAGCCAAGCTCAGAATCTGAGATTTTGAGCATTCTTCAGATTATATATAGCAGTGGAGAGAATCAGTGAGTTCAGACATCATATGGTTTATTCACGAAAGAAGCCATGCCCTCTTGCAATAAGGTCCAATTTGCATTTTTATTAGCAGTAGCAACATATATGAAAGTCAGGCGCTGTGCTGAGCACTTCACAGCAATGAGCAGACAATCCTGAGAGGCAGATATTATTGCTGACCCATTCACAGGTGGGAAAACGGAGGCATTAGAGAGTTAAGAAACTCTCTAATGGTCTACAGGGTCTACTGTCCCAACTTGCTCTCCAATCCTCTCTAAACCCCCCTTGATCCCTCTTGTCGCGTCATTTGTTGGTGGGCAGCATGCTGAGCTGGGATGCCCATTCCAGAAGCCTGGGCCAGGTCAGAAATCAGAGCAGAGCTCAGGCATTTTCACTGGGGTATAAGATTAAAAGCAGTACCATGAGCCACTTTTATTCTTTACTAAAACATGACATTGTTCCAAAAATTAATGTTTCTATAATGATAAAAATAAATTTCTAAGTGATAAAAATGTAGATGATAATATGAATTGTACAAGAGAGCAAAAAATCATTCATAATTACATTATTTGCTTATTGTGGTGAGAGGACAATTTAAACCAGAAATTAGATACTATCAAATAAAGCAGAAACTTTAAAAATTGAGTCACTATTAAATGTGGATTTTTCTGTAGAAAAATGGTCTGGTTTCCTGAATAAATAAATGATCCTCCCAAATTAGAGGGTAACATTCCAGAACAGCAAATATTTGAGAAGTTCATCACACAAATATGAAACATTGATCTTATTTCTATTTGGGTTCTAGAAAACTAATTATAAAAAAGACATTTTTCATGGTGCAGTGCAAGAAATTTGATGGCAGCAGTGTGTTGATATTAAGGAATTGCTGCAGGTTTACAGTGTGTGAATGGAATGGTGATATGCACAGTGGTAGGTAGAGTGACGCAGTGGTCTGGGATTTGCTTTAGAAAGATCTGGGAAGGGGCAGGGACTGAAAGGTGCTTTCGCTCACTCAAGGCCAGTCATGAGCGGATACTTGCTGGACCTGCCTTGAGTGAGCATGTGGGGGCTTATTGCACCCAGCTGTCCACTTTTAAGCTTGTTTAAAACTTTCCATTAAAACAATAGATCAGGGCAAGGAGCAGACTGAGCCAGGAAATGCCCTGGCTAGCTTAGCCTGCGGCTACCATGTCTGCAGCCACACGGCTGTTCCCGGGCCACTTGCTTCTCAGTCTTCCCTGGCAGTCCCACAGTGGAGAAGTGTCCTGGCTGTGGGTGAGCAGGGCTGCTCGGCGAAGCAATAGAGACCTCCCTGTTGGCCGTCCTGTCCAGCATGAGCTGGGACTGGGGACAGGGAGGCACTTGCGAGCCATGAAAAGAGCCTCCCTATCCACTGTGAGCTGGTGTGAAGGCAGAAGCGGATGGGAGGACTTCAGAAGTCGGTGGCTGCCCAGGGAGAAATACAGGCCCTGGGAGAAGCCTGTGCATCCCTCTCTGGTAGGCTGGGTCTGTGAACATAGAGAACTAAACATGGGTGGATACAGTCATGGGTCTCTTTGGTCAAATATCACTGCTGGGTGCAGAAGGCTGTTCTCCGAGAGGGAAGCATTCTACCTTCTTGTTGGAAAAGTGTTGGCCACCAATGACCATGCATTTTCTGGTCATTATCGCTCCCTCTTCTAGCTTTTAACAGGCTGCTTGGAAGAGAAAGCCAGATCCTGTCTTGTGCAAATCAACAGCAGAAGAACTTAGTCGGAAATAAGCTGAGCCCTAGATAGCAGAATCATGCTCAGATCCGGAATCTTGGAGCAGGAAACACACCCACAAGCCGACAGAACCCAGGGAGCGCTTCTACTTGAACTTGAAAATGTTCTCAGAGTCATGTCAGCATCCTTTGAATGGGAAGTAAGGAAGAGGGTTCCTGCTAGATGCAGAGTCCTTGGTCAAAGGTACATGAAAAGATGCTCAACATCATAGGAAATGCAGAGCAATCATTTGAGACACGTAGCATGCCTACAGGATGACTACAACGAAACAGATGCATAAACTAGTGGGGGAGGGGACGGAGAAATGGGAACCCTTGTAAACCATGGGCAGGAATGTGCCAGTGCAGTCGTTGTGCAAGAGTCTTGCTCTTTCTCAAATGACAGGCCACATGACCCTGGAATTCTACTCCTGGCTTTCATACTCTAGAAAAATGGAAACTTATGTCCACACAAGAGCCAGTGCACAAATGTTCCCAGCAGCACTATTCATACTGGTGGAGACAGACCACGTCAATCTGCTAGCAAATAGATACATGGAATGTGGCACGTTCATGCCGTGGGGTTCGACTTGGCCACAAAAACATGACACTGAGTAGAGGAAGTCTGAGGGCGGAGTTCATGAAACACTTGAATATAAACTTCCTGGAAACGTTGCCATTAAATAATTTTGAAGAATGTTTAACCACCCTAAAGTATTGCTAATAAAGTGATTCCAAATCCCACATCCCTGGGGCAGGGACAGCAAGTGCCTGAGTCAGTTCGCTGGGTCAGTGTGCACTCCCTAGGCCAGGGACCAGCATACCCTGATCCAGCAGGCTCTGAGCCTTGCAGGTCCTACTTACCATTCTCCTGAGTTTGGGATCCATCTGGCTGGATTCTGAAGCCTGGAGCAGGACCTCCACCACCAAGGAATGTGGAAGAAGTCCCACAAGGGCCTAGAGATGCTCTCATTTAATATCTTTCCGAGCCCCAACTCATTGCACCCCCACCAGGAAAAGATGAAGAGGACACAGTGGTTCCATTCACATCTGGGAACAAAAGATGCTTCTTTCAATCTGACCACAGAGGAAGAAGAAACAATGTGTCTCATGTGCACAGATTTGGGATGAGATAGTGCCTGGAAGTCATCTGATGCTGTTGGAGTCTAGTGGTCACCTCCAGCTCCTGCTCCTTGGATGCTTTGGTGGGGTGAGAGGGGTGTCACCTTTTAGACGGAGCAGTGTACCCATCCAAGGCCAGCAGGCAGAACTAGCATGGATGTTTGAATTTTTTCCCTGAGACATGGATAACAAAGTATGTTCCGTGAGTTTTTCCTCTTTGTTATATAGTCTTTTAAAAAATATATATTTGACAAAGATTATACACATTCAAGTGAATAATATACAACACACATGATATAATGATAATCACAATCAAATTAATTATCATAGTCCACGTTGTGCTGCTGTAACAGAAGACCAGAGCAGAGACTGGGTAACTTATGAAGAATAGTTTTAATACTTACAGTTCTAGAGTCTGGGACATTCTAGATCCACCATCTGGGGTCACCATCTGGCAAGGATGCTTTTACTGCATCATCCCATGGTAGAAAGCAGAAGAGTAAGAGAGTGTGTGTGCACAGATGCACAAGAGAGAGAGCATGAGAGAGGGACAGAGAAGAAAGGGGGATGAACTTATCCTTCTACCAGGGACTTACTCCTATAATACTAACCAATGAGTTTTAAGATTTATTTCTAATTCTGTGAAAAATGTCATTAGAACTTTGATAGGAATGCACTAGATTGGTAGATTGTATGGGGTAGTACGAACACAGTAACACTATTACTTCTTCCAATCTATGACCATGGGATGTCTTTCCATTTATTTTGTTTTCTTCAATTTCTTCCATTAATGTCTTTTAGTTTTCCTTATACAGATCTTTCACCTCCTTGGTTAAATTCACATATAGGTATTTTATTCTTTTTGGCATTATAAGTAGAAATCACTTTCTCAATTTTTTTGGATAGCTTATTTTCAGTGTTTAGATATGCAACTGATGGTGAGTTGATTTTGTATCCAACTTTACTAAATTTGTTTATAAGTGCAAAGAGGTTCTTGGTAGCATCTTTAAGGTTTTCTATATATATAAATGCCATCTGCAGAGACAATTTAAAACTTTCCTTTCCAATTTAGGTGGTTTTCATTTCTTTTTAAAAATTTCTTCTGGTCTGTTTTCCTTGGGATAGGTGTCACAGTATAATCAAAGTGTGACAGAGGAACTTTAAAGTTGCCTTCTGATATCTGTTTCCCTCCCTACGTTGTCACTGGATTTCTAGATGGCATCTCCCCACCTCTCATGCAAGTGGGGATAGCCACGTAACTACCTTCTGGACAGTAAGATGCAAATGGAAGAAATACCTGCTATTTTGGATTATGCTCTTTAAGGGAAGAAGTGTATCTTGACCCCTCCTCCTCTCCTTCCCACTGGCTGCTCCAGCAGGAGATGGTGGACAGATCATTGTCCCTGAGATGAAACTGAGGGTGGAAGAGAATTGCTGCATGACAGAAGGATCCTGGGCCCCACATGACAGAGTAGCCACCACACCAGGCCTGGATTTCTTGCACAGACATTTACATGAAGGATAAAGCATTAACCTTCACTGTGTGCAAGGCTTTGTTATTTTGACAATACACCAGCCTATATTCTCAGTAATTAATACACCATTGTTAAAGGGTCCTGGATATTTCTAGCACAACATTTTCTGACACAGATTCCAGAATAGCAAGAACAGAATGAACTTGACTTTGCCTCGGTCAATTCAGAGTCTTCAAGTCAGAGCTGCTTCACTCAGCTCTCTCTTTCCTAGGTGAAGGACGTGGCCTGGCAACTTCTGCGTCAGACAAGGTGGTTGCTTTTTTTCAGTGGCCAGCTTCCTGCTGGGAACACAATGCAGGACAAGGTTTTGACTTCCCAAGAAGAGCTCCACACCTAAGACCAACTTCTCCTGGAACATTTTGTTGCCGAAATCACAGCCATGTCATTGCCATAATAAAGGTTTTATCTCCTAACTAGAATGTGCAAAGACCCAAGAGAGATAGAGATAGATAGAAATGGGGGAAGGGAGGAAGAAGAGGAGGAGGAGAAGGGGGGGGGGAGAGAGAGAGAGAGAGAGAGAGAGAGAGAGAAACACATAACATTTTACATGCATAGGTCACTCAAGCATCTAAAATGTTATACAGTTGTTCTCAGATCACTTCCCTGAGAGGACTAGTGGGGCAGGGGAACACAGGGTTAGAAGTTGGTAAGGAGGAAGAAACAAGCCTGGCTTCTGAAGATATGGTGGGATATGGTAGAGGTGTCTCAGGGCAGGGGCACCTGGGGAACCCCGTTACTAACAAGAGGCCATGACAGCCGAGGGACTCCCAATTTCACCATCTGTTCTAGTAAGTGCTGCATAAGACAGGCTCCATCAAGTTCTGACCCGAGTCAAAATAGTCAGCAAGGTAGACACAATATTAAGTTTTTAATGAATAAGACTGATGTTTTAAAATGTAGACCGTATATATAAGCAAGAATACTTTCTATACTGATTTCTGGAATTAGGCAGCTTCAGTGGAACGAGGTAAAACAAACTCCTAGTTCTTGCAGTCTGCCTGTGTTCTCAGTCGTCCAGCCCACAATGCACTAGGCCTTTAGCTTCCTCTGACACCATCCTTGTAGAGTTTCACAGTGGAATGCCTTCGGCTAGATGCATCCCTGTGCACGGCTTCCAGAGGGCTGATTTCTGGTCCTCATTCCTTGGGGTTGGGCTTGAGTCTGGCTGTGCAATCTCAGAAGTGGTGGGTGCTTCTTACATATACTCTTCCCACTGTTGGATTCTATATGCCTATGACTATAAATCCCATTTTTAATCTCTAGGGACTTGAATGAGATCATCCCTGTGTCTTGTGGATCTAGTGCACTGCGCAGGGTGCTACATGATCTGGTGCAACAACTGCTTTGCAATGGGTTCATGACTGACTTGAGCCCATTTCTGGGTAAAAACCCTGTAGCTCTTTTTCCAGAATTACAGAAGGCATTTCTCACATCAGTGATGGAGATGTTGAGGTGGAGTCCCCAGCATCAAAAAGACCAACTGCTGGTCCAGCTGTACCTGAAGCCAGTGACCGGCTTCCTTTTTAAGTTTGCACTTTGAACTGGTATTGGACTTCAAGAGAAGTTGCAAAATTGATCAAGTATCTATATACACAGCACCCAGCTAATATCTTACCTAAACATAGTACAATGATCAAAACAAAGAATTTAATAGCAGTGTAACATCAATTGTAGAGTTTTTGTTTGGATTTCACAAGCGTGGGTTTGACTAACTTCTTTTCACAATGAGTGCGAGGTTATCAGAATGACATGTCAGGGCACCCTGCCAGGGCTATGTGACATTGAAATGTATGTCATTACCACTAAGTTTCACTTTTCCCACCAGAAGCAGATGGTGGCTGCCAGGTCTGTCCTCTAAAGTCACTATTTCCCCTGAAGATTAAGAACTTGGGGAGATATTTTCAGGAAAGGCAAATATTCTGGCCTGCCCTTTTTAGTGCACACTGGGTGGGGAGATCTTGCCTGTGGCACGCCATGGTAATTCTCCATTTCCCTTGCTCTGCTGGCACCCCACAAGAAGGCCCTGACCTTCTCACTCATCCATTGTCCTTTGTATTAGCACAGACTCATGGGTAGCATTCGTGCTGTGGGTTAGAATCCAATCTTGCTAGCCTGTCTTTCCTCCACTTGACTTCACACTCCCGTGTCCCCTGGTGTTACTTTCTGCCACTATGAGGCACTCCAGGATCCTCTGGTATTTATGCTGCCCCATCCCTGGGATCAACCAGTTCTCCAAGGAGCCTGGATCCTTTTGTCAGCATTTACCCTGGGCTTTGATATCAATTGCAGCCACTGATTCTTTCTTGTGAAAGAAGGATGACTTTGACTTGGCAGCAGTAAGCAGCAGGCAGGGTCAGGCCAGTTCTTTGCCAGCACAGGGAGTGGCCAGGGACATCACTCCAGTGGGCTGGGAGGACCGAGCGCCCACCTTCAAAGACCTGGGTCTTGTTTTCTGAGGCTGGATCATGATCTGACGTCACACACTATCAAAAAGCATACGGGTGCTCCAGGAGCAGCCCCGAGGAGCTCATGTGTGCACAGGGAGCACAGCACACCTGAGGGCACCCACCAGCACACGCAATGGCACCCACACACAATGATACCCCACCAGCACACGCAACGGTACCCCACCAGCACACCTGAGGGCACCCACATGCAATGGTACCCCACCAGCACACTGGAGGGCACCCACCAGCCCACGCAACGGTACCCCACCAGCATACCTGGGAACACTCACCAGCACACACAACAGTACCTCACCAGCACACCTGGGAACACTCACCAGCGCACACAGTGGTATCCCACAAGCACACCTGGGAACACCCACCAGTACACCTGGGGGCACCCACCAGCACACGCAATGGCACCCCACCAGCACACCTGAGGGCACTCACCAGCACATGCAATGGTACCTCACCAGTACACCTGGGGGCACCCACCAGCACACGCAATGGTACCCCACCAGCACACCTGGGAACACCTACCAGCACACGAAACGGTACCCCACCAGCACACCTGAGGGCACCCACCAGCACACACAATGGTACCCCACCAGCAAACTTGAGGGCACCCACCAGCACACGCAATGGTACCCCACCAGCACACCTGGGAAACCCACCAGCACACGCAATGGTACCTCACCAGCACACCTGAGGGCACCCACCAGCACACGCAATGGTACCTCACCAGCACACCTGAGGGCACCCACCAGCACACGCAATGGTACCCCACCAGCAAACCTGAGGGCACCCACCAGCACACGAAATGGTACCCCACCAGCACACCTGGGAAACCCACCAGCACACGCAATGGTACCCCACCAGCACACCTGAGGGCACTCACCAGCACATGCAACGGTACCCCACCAGCACACCTGGGAACACCCACCCCAGCACACGCAATGGTACCCCACCAGCACACCTGAGGGCACCCACCAGCACACGCAATGGTACCCCACCAGCAAACCTGAGGGCACCCACCAGCACACGAAATGGTACCCCACCAGCACACCTGGGAAACCCACCAGCACACGCAATGGTACCCCACCAGCACATCTGAGGGCACTCACCAGCACACCTGAGGGCACCCACTAGCACACGCAATGGTACACCACCAGCACACCTGGGAACACCTACCAGCACACGCAACAGTACCCCACCAGCACATGCAATGGTACCCACCAGCACACCTGAGGGCACCCACCAGCACACCTGGGAACACCCACCAGTACACGCAATGGTACACCACCAGCACACCTGGGAATACCCACCAGCACACGCAACAGTACCCCACCAGCACACCTGAGGGCACTCACCAGCACACATGGTGGTATCCCACAAGCACACCTGAGGGCACCCACCAGCACACGCAATGGTACCCCACCAGCACACACATGCTCCACGAGCACACCCCATGGCACCCCACCAGCACACGCGTGCTCCAGGCCTAAGCCAGGTACAGCAATTCCTTCAGAGGCTCTGTTTTCACTTTATTGAGCAGAGTGGACGGAGAGGCACTGGTGCTGTCACTAGCACTTGCAGGCTGGGTTCCAAGGGACCATGACAGAGTGGGGAGACAGACGGTCAAGGTCTCAAGAAAGGACAGAAACACACAACTGTAAGGGTCTCAGAGGGACCATCATGGTGTAGGAAGCCTCGGACTCTCCCATTTCCTTTCTGGGTGTCCCAGCTGTGCACGCCTGGCAGCAGGGAGGCGGCGGGCAGAGAAGGGCAAGCCCTGTCCACCCTAATTCGACGGCAGGTGCCTCCTGAGGAACTTGTGCTTTTGGACCTTGGCTGCTTTCTGGAGGCTGAGTCACAATGGCCACCTCTGAGAACCTACCCTGGGGGTCACTCAGCTGTCCCTGATAAGCCCCATGACTAAGCATTTCCAACTGCCAGCACAGCTAACTCCACCCTCCGACAGCTGGATGCACCTGTGTCCATTCTTGGCAGTCTGTGAGTGACCTGTAAGAGGAAAAGGGAGGGGAACTTCCACTTCCTGGGCGAGTCAGAAGAGGAAGAGGACAGGGCAGAGGGCAGGATTCCTTCTGCTCCGAATGGCAGTCCACAGAAAACCAGGCTGTCAGTCCTTTAGCTGAGACACCTCGTACAGGTATGCGGCCAGCACCTTGGTCCCTTCTATGTAGTTATATCTGAGAGGAAGAACACAACATCACGTCAGCGGGAGTCACAGAGTACAGCCCCCCGGCCTGCTGAGACTCCTCCCAAGGCACAGGCGCACCCTCTGCCCCTGACTTCGGCTGGAAGTCCTGCTTATCTTTACTACCCCACTGCCAAGAACCAATACTGGTCCTGGTCTAAGAATGCAGGAGGTCACACCCAAGGCTCTGATCTAGGGAACAGGCCCAGCTAGAATCCCAGGAACCAGGCCTGTCTGCCCCAGGCCCTCCTGCAGGGCTGCACTCTGCTAGTCCAGGCTACCCTAATTCCCCGGGATGAGTTCCTGCTGCCAGTCCTCAGCAGCTCCCGCCAGGAACTTCCCCCTGCCCTGGTCACAGACCCTGCCTGCCTGGGTCTCTCCTTCCTGCCACTACCCAGAGGCTCGCTTCATCCAGTGGGTTAGAGGAAGCCCTGCCTGTCATGTCTGCCTAAGTCAGAACGTGTACAAGGGCCTCAAGCAGTGAGCAGTGACCAGGAATTTTTCAAAAAGGAACAGTAGAGAGGGGTTTACGAATGGTAGGAGAACACTGGCTGAACGGTTCACACACTGCCGTCACCACGCCTTGTCCTGCCTCCCATCAAATACAGACACAAATGCAGGGATGGTCACAGAATCACGCCGCCTGCCGGCCTTTCTTGGCAGTAGCAGCTGGGAGGCGGGAAGGCAGGGAGGAGAGAGGCTGGAGGGAAGCTCCTCCAGGCACCCACCGCTTCAGGCCCCCGCCCTGGAGGCTCACCTGTTGAGCTTCTCATTCTGGGAGTGGGCACCGTCATCGGCTGAGCCCACTGGCAAGAGCATGACATTCTTGCCTGTGGCCTCCTGAAATGTCAAGGTCACAGGAATACTGCCACCTTCCCTGGTCAAATCTGGTTCAACACCAAAAACTAGAAGAAACGGAATGAGAGAAATAGTGAACTCAGAGCCTCGAGCTAGAGACCCATCACGGAGGCAGCGATACTGACAGATGCTGGGGATGGCAGCCGGGCCTGAGGAAGTCACCCCGTGCCCTTCCGGAGAGCACCACAGACAAAACAGTCATGCATCCAACATGATACGGCAAGGCCCTCAGACACGCTTAGATACATGATCCCCGGCATCCGCCCCCAAGGAGCTGGAATCCACCTGTTTTCAGGGCTCTTCTCCCCGCCATGTAGTGAGGGTGGTTGAAGTCAGAGACCCAGGGCTTCCCACCGTGGCCCATGTACACCTTGAACTTGTTGGGGCTGTGTAGCTCAGCAAACTTCTTAGTCAAGTAGCTTGTAACCTAAACCACAAACAGGAGAGACACATGCTCTTTAAAAAGCGTGGCATGTGACGGAACGTTAGTGATTTACTTGGGCTACAATCAGTCATCTACAACAAGTCTGCTACAACAGCTCTACAACATTCTGTTTTTTAAAATACCTTGATTTATTTGTTTGTTTTTATTTGGTGCTGAGGGTCGAACCCAGAGCCTCACACATGCCAGGTAAGTGCTCTACTGCTGAGCCACAACCCCAGCCCCAGCTCTATAACATTCTATAATGAGTCTATAGAGTCTCATTTTCTGCTGTTGAATACTGATCCACATAACCACAAGAGCAGGAAATTAGACTTAATCTAGAAATAAAATTCAGTTATCTGAAGGTAAAGGCAATGTTTAAATTTCAAGCATTTACCCTTTACACAGGAGTTCCAAGTGATGATAATGTTTACATAAAGTTGAAAAACCATGTTTTCTGACTTGCTTTTTGTTAAGAAAAGGTTGTTTGTATCTCTCCAATGCCTGTGGACACTCTAAACACCACTATGACTATACTTTGAGATAAGACCTTTGTACAGGTAATTAAGGTTCAATGAGTCATAGGCTGGGGCCCTGGTTAGACAGGATTAGTGCCCTTACAGCCTCGCTCACTGTTCACTATGTGCACACAGAGAAGGTACTACCTGCAAGCCAGGAGTGGCCCTCGCCAGACACCATCTGCTGGAAGCTTCATCTTGGACTTTTCAGCCTCCAAAAATAGGAGTAATACATTTCTGCCACCTAACCCACCCAGTCTGTCAGCTTTAGTTATGGCAGCTCTAGCAGATTAATATGCTTTATAAAAATGGTCATGAGCTAAATTTCATCTAGGTGGAAAATGGATCTAGGAGATACCCAGTATATGGCCCAAACCTCAGTTCCCACACATGGCAAGTGGGCCAGTCTCCTCTTCCCAGCACCGAGGACTTTGATTCCATCTTTCCGAGGAACCTCCCTGGAGGAGGGGGTGACTGCTCTCTGAACCAGGTGGACCCAGTTACCAGATCTGGGCCTCAGTTGACCTGAAGCCTTGGGGTGAGGTCAGAGATCAGGTCTGGCTACCCTAGCAGTGATGAAGGTCACTTTCTTGGGATGCCTGTTCATGTGGCCTTCATTGAGGGGAAGTTTCTGAACTGCTTATTCTATGACTACTGATTAGGCAAGAGCCAAGAGGTAGGGTGTTCAGGGTCTAGGCTTTTGCCCCAGTGAAGTCCCTTGTTCCCCACATCCTGAGGACATAGCTCTCGCCCACCCGCAAGCCACTCTCCTACGGACCTGCTCGCTGACCACTTCAGGAGTCATGTTTGGCACAAGCCTGATGGAGAACTTGCCGACCACCTTCCTAGGAATCACGGTCTTGGCCCCCGACCCGGAGAAGGCGCCTTCAATGCCATGAAGGGAGAGGGACGGGTAACGCCAACGGTGCATGAGGATGTCTTTCTGCAAAATCATGACAGATGTTTGCTTGATCACTGAGGAGACAGATGCCATCTAGCAGTTGGCAGGACTGGTTAGAGCTGCTGCGGGCTCTGGAACTACTGCCCCTCACCCCAGGGGAAGCTCGCTGGCCTTAACAGCCTCAGGAGCTGACTGTGACACTTGGGGGCATGTGCTTGACCCTTCAGCCCCCAAACAGCTGCCACATCTCTGCCTCTCTGCTGTTCCCACCAGCCTGTCCCTGCTGGCGAGCAGTGCTACTGCAGGACCCTGATGAGGCCTCTTTCAGATCTGTCTAAGCCTTGGGCAAGCCCACAGGGTTGGCCCTGCTCGGTCCCAAGCATGTTCTTCTGGAGTTCTGTGCTCACTTTTCTCAGGGAAAGATGAAACTCAAGGGCCAAGCCTGCTCTGCCTGCTCCCATCCCCACCCTAGAGAGCCGGGCCTGTTGCTGAATTCAGTTAAAGTCAGCTTCATGGAAACTGCTGAACTGATATCCACACCTCATAAACCAACTTTACTCAAACAAACCAAGAGTAAAGTCACAGCACAATTTCCACCCCCAGCTAAGTCAACAAGGTGTGGACAGCTCCTGCCTTTGAACTTGGCCCTGTAGGGCGCCTTAACTAACCTTTGGGCCCACTGTAAAGAGATCACATTACAAATCCCAGAGATCCCAGAGAAAGCGGAGCCACCTGCCAGCAGGAGATGGCACTGTTCCCCCTGCACCCTGCCTCCAGTTCTTCCAGAGTCAAAGTAGATTCTGACACGAAAAGGCCCTAAGTGTGCCCAGCCTGGCGTGCCCTCCTTTCTAGGTTTGCCACCCGACACGTGTGCATGTGCCCCTCCCCAGGCGGGGCCCACTGGAGCCCTGGCAGCTGGCGCAGGGCAGGGCCCCAGGGCACCTTGAAGTCATGTAGGAGGGTCTCAGCCCCCACATCCTTGGCAAACTCCTCCAGGTCGAAGTCGATGTGGTCATAGAGCTCATGCTCCTCTCTCGTCACGGGGGCCACGGCCTCATTGATACCAGGGATGAGGATTTTCCCCTTGTTGTCAACCAGAGAGCCTGGGGGAAGAAGCAGAGGGTTAAAAGGCTCAGCAGTTCTCAGCAGTGCTAACTCCAGAAAGTCAGGCAACGCAGAGACCACAGCTCAGCCTCCGCGGCCCAAGATGGAACAGGCCAGGAACAGCACGGACAGCCCTGGTGGTGATGTCCCTGAGCCGCTACCTCTCCAGGTGCTTATGGCAGTAAGTCAGTCAGTCAGTTATCACAACTCCTGTTTTTAGACAAAGACTGAGGAGCAGGGGGAGGTAACTGCCCTCAGTCACACCACGATACCAACCAGACCAGCTGGCTCCAAGCAGGCTTACTCTAAAAGGGCCACACCATCCAGCTTTTCACTTTTAAGGGACATCCCACAAGAAACAAGCTGCTCTGGAGTCCAGGAGAAGAAACTAGGAGTGGGACTGAGCAGACTCCAACTCTGGGAAGACATCACCTCACCTGAGGCACCTCTGTCTGTCAGGTAGGAAGGGAGAGCTTACAGAATCACATGGGAGATGGGAACCTAGGTGTAGGCAGCCACGGCAAGTGACCAAAGCCCATGCTCCCAGGATAGTAAAAGCCCATGCTCCCAGGAGAGTAGTCATCTCCAGGAGAGTAGTCTGCTGTCAGAGGAGGGATGGCATCTTGTGCTCCTAAGGGTAGGTTGGGCAGGAACTGGGGTGTCCCAGTGGGGTGTGCGGGGTAGGGCAGGGTCTCAACAGGTGGAGACAACGCACAGGACAGTCCCAGGCAGAGCAGAGGAGGACAGCGTCAGAAATGGAGCACAGGGACCTTTTAAAGAAAACAGTGGACAGGAGGAGGGAAGGAATTCATCACAACCGACCACCTGGTTCATGAAGAATGCTGAGGTGCACTAAATGCAGAGCCTGGAAGCAGCAGCCCTGCCAGCCTCCCAACGCAGCAAGCATCGACCGAGGGTGAGCCAGTGCACACTCACCCATCAGTGCAATGAGATCCGTCATGGCCTCGTACACCGAGCCACCGTACACCCCAGAATGGAGGTCTTTGTCACTGCATTCCACCTGGATGAAAACAAAGGCCACTTTATCTGGTTGCTTAGTGGAAGCTTATTTGTATCATGTAACAGCACATCGAACAAGAACATTTATAAGACTTGACAATTTCCCAAACCAAAACTTGTTCCCTCAAGGAGCAAAGCAAGATATTCCTCCAATTAGGAAACTCAGACAAGAAAAAATGATCCTGGATATGCTGACTATAGGCCCTGGGTAACTATAGGTTAGAACAGCAGTCAGTAAGTCAGTTATGACCATGACGAGCTGGGAAGGCACTCATCTCCAGAGAACATCTGCCACAAAAAGTGGGAATGCTGGCCTCAGGTGCCCCAGGTATGTCTGCCACAGCTATGCTGGGAATACTGGCCACAGGTGAGAGCACGCTGCAGGGCAAGCTCTCCCTTCTTACCCTGAAGGACACGGAGCCTCCTCCAGGGGAAGGACAGGCCCCATCATTCACAAGGATCATCTCCCAAGTGGGAAATACCCAAGATGAATGATGGACCTGGAAAGCCTGAGGACCTGGGTTCAGATCCACCCCACCACTGACCAGTCTTCTAACTAGGTAAGGCAAGGCCCCCATGTGAAGGGGAACTCACTCCCAGCACCAGGTCACCTGTGATGTGTGGAAGGCTGTGATGCCCAGGGTGAGGGCTCAGCGTAGCCACGGCCACGATTTCTGCCCTGACTGGGTGATGGGGTCTACTTCCATCACCAGAGTCTGTGTGGGGTCGGGGGGAGTGCCACCCTTACTTGGTTGCCAGTGAGGGCAGAGCCCAGCTGGCTCCCCACACTCGCTCAGGCGTCAGCTTCTCTTCCTCTAGGGAGGGTCTCGATCCCCCACAGTAACTCAGTGCGGGCTGAGGGCTTCAGGCTCAAGCCCTCAGAAACGCTCTCCACTTCCAAAAGGAGGTGTTCTCAGTGCTCTGCACACTGGCCCTCCTAGATGGGCCAGCATGGCCTCTCTTCCCACTTCTCCAAGGCAACATAGGAACAACACTGCTCTGGCTGGATGTTTCTCTGAAATGATTTCTGAGCATGGGAAGTCCCATCATCTGTGCCTGGGCTCCACAATGACTTGTGGAGCCTGGGAAGTGGGCACCACCCAAGCTTGGAGCTTCTCCTTCTTGTATGACTGCCTCTTGGCACGTGCCTGCTTTAGGGTAGGAAGACAAGGAAACTCAAGGCTAGGGAGGAGCTGCAGAACTTGGCACATACCTCAATGAAAAAGTAGCAAATGCCCCTGAGGCCATATGTGAGGCAGGGCTTCTTCTTCCCCAGCCAATAGTTGTCGGAAATGCAAATGTAGTCCACATCTTTAAAGAACTTGTCTTTCTGGGCAAAAATCAGCTCATCCAGGCCTTCAGAGCCGGACTCCTCCATTCCTTCGAGACAGAACCGCACGTTGACAGGGATGTCCTGTGACAGAAGGCAGGAGGAGGGAGTTGGCTTCTCTGCTCTCCACTGAAATTTCAAATACCCAACCTCCTGGGATAGCCACAGGCAGACAGTAGTCTGCAGGGCACCAGGGCAGGGAAGGGAAGGCCCTTGCCTCATGCCTGGGTAAGCCCTAATGGGACGTCTGTGGACGCCCAGTGAAAGCAAATGCGGAGTGTTCAGGACAGCCCAAGCTGCTCCCTCTATGACAGAGGGACAAAGAACATCCACACCTGAGCACCAGAGTCCTCAGTGTTGCACAGAGAGCCTCTGCCAACGCAAGGACCTGCAAGTAGGCTCTCCCTCACTGCGAGCCCTGGCACCACCAGCCACACTAGACATCTTCCAGGTGCTCTCCCAGCTCTACAGGGTGAGGCAGGTGGTCCCCTCCCCAGATGAGAAAAGGAAGCTGCAGGTGAGAAAGAGGGAAACCCGAGAGACCAACAGGGCACAGAACAGCAGCCCCAAATGCAGACTCAGGTCTACTGAGACCGGGTTCAAATCTGCCCGGCAGCAGCACAGTTCACCATATGTACTTTGCCCTCCACCCCCAGTGCTGTCCACAGACGTGCGTCCCCTCCTGCTCTCCTCCTCCTCTTCTACCCTCAAGTGAGACCTTTCCTGGTACCTGGGTATGTGGAATAGGGGTGATAGAGCTGTTAGGAGGTTCTCCACTATACATAACTGTCCCTCACTTTGGACTTCCTAGACCCCAAGGCACCTCCACCGCAAGGCCGAGGCTCCAGGCGGCACTGGAGGGGTGAGGCTTCCTGGCTCCCATGCCCGGTGCAAAGGGCACCTGTGCCAGGCAGGTGGTTCTGTGGGTTGGCTCCCTCCTATGCAAAACCACTTGCCAGACCAGAGGGCCTGAGACCCTTTTCATAGCTAACAGTCCATACTTTGACAAAAATGCTTATCTTATTCTTATTTTATCATGATAAAGGCCAGATGCGAAAACTATCCATACAATGTGATCACAACTAGAGTAAAGACCAATAGTGAGTTTAGTAAGAAACAAAATACTAAATGAGTATTTTGAGGTTTGGGATTTTTAGCAATTTTTTTCTCTAATTTACCAACTTTGAATAACGAGCACATATTTCACAGCTGATGAAGTTCTTTTTTAAAACAACTTATTTTTAAGAGAATATAAACGGGGGAGGGGGGAGCTGAGGAGGAATCTGTCCCACATCCCAAAGCTTGCTGCATTCTGGCAAGTGTCATGGGTATAATCAATGCCTGAAATTTCACATTTTGGGCTGAGGGTGCAATTTGACTGTAGAGCACTTGCCCAGAAAGAATGAGGCCCTAGGTTTGATCCCTAGCCTCATAAAGAAAGAAAGAAAATTCACATTCCATGTGTTGGCTGAATCCTGCTGACTTTGCTAAGTAGTCAATAGTATGACCTTTGAGTATCTGTGAAACAATTAAACTTCTCATGTTTCTAAGTTGAAAACAGCTATGATCTTAAATCTGGATCACCTGTGCTGATTAAGGTTGCCCAGTGATCTCAGAGTATTGCTCAGGTGGAACCTGGTGAGTGGGTGGAATGCGACGGGGGCAGAGCTGGAGGCATACCTGACCGGTCTTCTGATAGGCTTCTAGGGCATTCATCCAGCCGGCCACGGGCCCCTTATCATCAGTGGAACCTCTCCCATACAACTTGCCTAGAACAGCAATCATAAATCAGTTACAACCACGATAAGCTGGGAAGGAGCTCATCTCCAGTGAGCAACACACACACACACACACACACATACACACACACACTGTCAGGGAAGACTTTCTCTTCACATCAGAAACCCCAGGAGCCAGCCAACACTGCTGGGTCAGGGTGATTCCAGGAAACACCCAGGAGGTGATGAGCTCTTTCAATGCTGCCTCCCAAGGTGGCTGGTGGACTTCTACAGGTAGGAGGCCTGGTCACACTTAGGAACCACATATGCCATCATCATAAAAGCACCCCAAAGCTCAATCCCAAAGCTCACCCTAAGTTGGACACCTGTTTTGATACAGAATAGACCTTGCATTTTTATTATTCACTTCTCCATTTCTCTCTTTCTTCCTTTAGTTACCACTTTGAAAACTACAGGACATGACACACCTCCAGTCTGTGTCCTTGGTCCTGTTGTTCCCCTCTCTGCACTTGCTTTAGGACCACTTACACTGGGGTCTGGGCTGCGAAGCTGACCACCACCAAAGGCAACTCGGGGCTAGAGGAGTGGGTATCTAGGGGTCGGGCCCTCACCAACCAAGAGCAAGGCCCTGGGTTTGAGCCCCAATATCATAAAACAAAGCAAAACACACACCAAATCTCAGATCACTCAAAACCCGCCTCCGCCCTCTGCCACATGACCCAAGGTTGGCCTCCACAGTCCCAGGGTCCCAGCTCATGGGTTCAGGCTTGTCCAGGCTCAGCCAGGCTCAGCCATGTCCGAGTTCTACTGTCTGTCCTTGCTGGTTCTCCCACTTCCTCATCCTTAGACGGTTTTAAAGGTCTGGCAGTTTCAGAATGACCTACCCCAAAGCAGCATGAAGCTTAAAGCCATCGTTACCTTGGGAAGTTCCTTTTATTACAAAACACAGCTTTTCACAAAAACTTAAATAGAAGCTCTCCTTAAAAAAAATAAATAAATAGAGCGTGTTTCTGTGACAAACACCAAATAACTACAGTGGCCAGGGTTGTGCTGGATCATAGGTGAATGGTAACACTCCTGCTCCCCATGCTCAGGGCTCCTGACGAAGAGGAGGTGCACGGGTTGGATGTTTGTAATGAAGCTTCTTTGAGGTATGAGGAGCTACACTAGTCTGTGGAGGGTAGATGTGGATGTCCACCTGTTGGGTTCTCAGATTGTGGCCTCACAGAGGACTTGGCAGTAGTGACCAGTGCTGGAGTACAAGCAGGTGCTCATGGTGGCTTGAGCATTCTGTTCACGGTGCAGAGCTGGGTTCTGGGGCCTGCACATGGCTCCTCATGGCTGGGCACAGGAGGGAGGAGGAGCAGGGAAGGGGAGGCAGGTTGGCAGGTGATGGGAGGGAATCTGCAGTCAGCTGACTCTTCTGCTTGGTGTCAGGTAAGGAGTAGCATGCTGGGGTCACGTGGGGGGGAATATGTAAGGGTCGTGAAGCAGCCAAGGCCTGGAGGGGGGCAGGGCCAAGCAATGCCAGCCAGCACTGGGGGGTCCTCAGCATGGGGCAGGGCCTAGCAATGCCAGCCAGCACTGGGGGGGGTCCTCAGTGTGGGAGCAGCAGTGTCCCAGGAAGGGCAGAGGGAAGGGTGGGCAGGGTGGGGACAGAATGACCCTTCTTCTGGTGTATGTGATGGGACGCAGTCAAGTGCTTGAAGAGCAAAGACAAGAAAGCCTGTTCCCGGGCAGGTGGGTTCACATGGTGAGGGAGCCACCTGGTAGTCATGTGGGTCTGACACCAGGGAGGAGCCGAGTGCACAGAGAGGACTAACTCTACAACCTGGTACCTCAGCAATCACACTGTGGTGGGGACGGGACGGGACGGAGTGTCATAAAAGATGCTGCTTTAAACAATTTTTCAGTTTTGCACTGTCACAGGCGGTCCACAGCAAGCCAGGAGAGGCCTGAAGGCAGATTCTGCATTCAGTTAGACAAGAGGGTCTGAGCTCTGCCCTGGGGGCCAGGGTGCAAACAGGACTGCCTTAGCTGGCCAGGGAGTGCCCTGTGGCGAGGTGAGGGAAAGTTCAGAAGGGAAAGCAGAGAACCCTCTCGCCAAGGGCGATGCAAGAAGAGGCCAGGCTCGGGGCTCCCAGTGTCTAACATGCTTGTTATATGCACAGGGCAGGCAGGGGACCAGCTCAGCAGGGCAAGGCCCGAGGTTACAGCTCTGGAGGCCACACAGCCTCAGCTCAGAACCTTGTTCTGGAAAGAGCAGCAGTAGCAAGGGAAGCTCAGAAGACCCACGCCATGGACAGCACACTTCCAGAGCGAGGGAGGCTCTCGGGACCTCCAGACACTATGGCACACTGCGCGACTCCCGGAACCCAACCTCCCGCTGACGTGAAAAACACGCTGTACTGCACAGCGGAAAAAACAAGTGACCATCAGCAACTTTCCAAAACTCAAATAACAGAATTGCTCCTCCCAGCACTAAAAGCACTGTTCCTCTGGAGGCCAGTGAGCTCTGGAAGCACTGTCCCTCACCGTCCCGCTCTGTCAAGGTGAAGGGCTCGCTGTCCCAGCCGTCCTCCAAGGATGCGGGCTGCACGTCCAAATGCCCATAAACACATACTGTTTTCTTCTGGGGGTCAGAGCCCAGTTTGCCGAGCAGAATGGGAGGAAGTGGTATCTCCGAGCCATCAGGGAGCTGAGTCAGAGGAAGCAATCAAGGGCAGTCCTGTCAATAAGCTCAGAACTCACATCAAAGATGAAAATAAACATGGGCTTTCTTATCTGTTCTTATAATCAACTTCTACCGCACAGTTTAAGACCATAATGTTCAACACAGTCATTAATTAGCAAGAATTTCCTTCCCTGAAATCCAGAGTGAATACCTTTAAGTATAAATGTATAAGTGAATACATTTACCAACTAGTTTGTTAAAATTTTAAAGACTAGTTTTAAAAAAAACTATATAATAAAGTATCATGAAGGTTGAATTCAGGATGTCACTTTCATTATTTTCTGAAATATAATGGTTAAAAATAATTATAATCTTGAATCAAAAGACACATTTTTAAAATTCTGTATGCAGACTACTATTATGCACAGAATGGGCAACAAATCAAGATATAAAGCAGTACAATTCATATTAAAACCCTACTAAATGAAGTAGTGATGATTAGTAGTCCTCTGAGCTTTTTCCCAAAGCCCTTATCAACTGTCCACTATCCTGTAAGAATGGGGAACAGGGATATTAGTCACAAAATCCCCTTTGTTGGAGAAGAATCATGGGGACAGGAAGGCAAACCAGTCAGTTCTTCTACCCCTTCGTATCATATCCATGGTCTCCACCTGCGACTGTACATGGGGCCCACTCGCTCATGTTCCTCCTCCTCTACCAGGTCCTATATCCTAACAGAAAGCCCCCACGATGGCTACAAAGTGTCAGGGTAGGAGTGCACACACTCTTGCTTCACACAGGAGGAAAGGACTGTTCCAGCCAGAATATCACACACATGTATTAATCTAGCTATTAGAAAACACCATTTCTGGAAATACCTGTTAATAAACATAACATACAAACTGAATTGATAATGAAGCTAAATTAACATTCTACACTGAAGAGGTAAAATGAACAGCAAATGAAAATGACAATCAGATCAGGACAATGCTGGTGACAGGCTTAGATCTGTCCACCTCCCAAACTCCAGGGCTCCTGAGCTTTATGTACACAAGCAGTCAGAGAACCAGGCGGGTAGCTGGGTGTCCTCTAAGGACAAATGACTTGTTTTCTCAGTAGACTCTACTGGTAAAATAATTTACCCCAAGTAATTCTCATAACCTGGCAGCTACCAGTGTGCAGAGTGAGGACTCAATGTCCTTTGCTCACTTGACTGCACCAAAGGCTGGGTTTGTGCATTGGTGGGGACAAAGAACTAACTGTTCCTTAAACTCCCTGCCCTGGGCACAAAGGACACACGGCCTCTGCGATCACAGCCAGAGCTCAGCTGGCCTGAGCAGGAAAATGATCTTTTAAATGACAGCAGATTTTCTCTAAATATATTTCTATTTGACAGAGCCTGAAATACTCCAGTATTTTCTAAGGAGCTATTGGAGCCCATAGGCAAATTGGTTCTGAAGTCCTTGAGGACCCAAATTCCTGGTGTTCACTTCCCTCTGTAAGCTGGAAACACTCCTGCTTGCTTCTGCATCTGCTGGTGCTCTCTGCACACCTGCCTCAGGCCATCAGCCTCTAAACAAGGAACCCTGCTACACGAGCATGCTCAGGGGAAGACCCGTGTGCTGTCGCCTCCTGCAAAAGTCTCTGCAGAACTTTTCCACAGTGGTGAAATCTTTCAACTCCTTGTTGAAATAGGTTCAATATGATCTGAAATGTACAACAGCCATTTATAGGAGGCCTTTTCTTTACAACTGTCCTGTGAAGTCAGTGTTAGATGGAATAAACCTATTTATCGTAGTGAAACAACTCTTAAAAAAATTATTTACCCCACCCAGATTTTTTTATATCTTGGGAAGAAAGGGAGGAGCAAGTCACGACTGCTCTCATTAAAAAACAATATCAAGAGACTTGGCTTATTCTTCAAAGAATGGGAGGAAATTGTTGGGGAGCTGTAATGTTTTAAACCAATCATTGAATTTGTTGTTAGAAGAAAATCTTAAAAAAGAACAATAGTGGACCCTGAGTCAGGAGGCCTGAATTTTAATTTGGGCCTTGCCATGAATCAGTGACACACAGCCCACCAGGATGAAGGGAGCACACTGATGGCCACACCCCAAATTCCAGGACCATGACTGCATCTTAACACTTAGGTCATCAGGCAAAAGAACAGAGACAAACTAGAGCTTTCATGCTCTGTGATATAGGAGTCTTCCAAACTGAAAATACAGGGCATGAAAATACAAATCACGTGGGCCTCAAAACATCCAAAACCAAAACTAGCAGACCAAGGTCCACAAAGTGAGATTGCTCACTTAAACTGCACAGAAAACAAAGCATTCTCATCTGTTGGAATCCTGTGTTAAAATGCCATTGACCCGTGGAACCCCATCTCTCTCAGGACACGGTGCTGTGTGAGTGGGGTCTTCACTATTTTTAAAGTGATATGAATAAAGTGACAGGATAAGCTTCCTCTTTTGAAAGCATGCTGATTTCTGGGAGAATTTCAGCTATGCTCTATGAATGACCATCACATGAACTTATTCTAGAGTAACTGTCAGCAGTTCTCCTTCCTGGACTGAGCCTCTGCCCCAGAGCAATGTGACAATCCTTCTCAGAGGCAGGCTCTACACCAGGGCCACACTTCTTGGGTGGAGCGTCTGAAGCCAAAGGTCCTCCAAGTACTTGCAGAGTCCTGCCAGCCCCTAGGCAGAATCTGGCTTGTGGTTCTGCAAGGCCAGGTCATACCTTTTGTTTCCCAATATCCACCAGCTCCACAGAACCTCCCAGCTGCTGGATATCCGCGGCAGCAGCCTCCATCATCCTTCTGATCTCCCCTCTCTTCTCGGGCCAGGCAGAAACACTCTGGATGGCCACCCAGTTTGCAAGTTTCTGTTGTGGACAGCAAATGGAAAGGGATTCTGAAATGTTGCTCCTTTAGGGGAGAAAGGCACTTGCAGGGTGGGGGTTTCTGGCACATGAAACTGACTTGCTGCTTCACTCTGACCAGGCTGATGGACGCAGGGGACAGATCTGTCAGGTTACTTTTGTTCAGACTTTGAAAATTGTTTGTACTGACCCTGTACTAAGAACTAAAGAGGAACAACAAAATGTCAAGATGTGTATTTTTAATCATTTAAGGTGATGTGAACTTAAATACAGAGCTCCAAAAATTAGTTTCTGAATCTAGCAAAATTATAAGTGAAAGATATGAACAATATCTCATGTTATCTGATATCTAATGCTTTTTTCTCATCCTGGCAATAGTCAAGTTTTCTAAAGTGTAATTTTTAGAAGGAGGATTCTAAATATTTTGTCTGAAATGTGTCCATCAGAATAACTTTAAAGCTTAATTCTTCAACTTAACATCAAGAAACATTAATATATAATATTACTGAGTAACTTAGACCATGTTAAATATTTACTGGTTCTTTAATATGTAACATAAGAAATCACAGATTGAGATTAAACAAAATCTCAAATTAGTTGTTATTTCTAGAAACATATTCACACTTTTTTCAAATGCCAAAAAGTATAACTTTTGCTGTAATGAGAAGAGTAGGTAACATTTTTTTTTTTTTTTTTTTTTTTTTGCGGGGGGATACCAGGGATTGAACTCAGGGCACTCAACCATTGAGCCACATCCCCAACCCTGTTTTGTGTTTTATTTAGAGACAAGGTCTCACTGAGTTGCTTAGCAGCCTCAGTTTTGCTGAGGCTGGCTTTGAACTCACAATCTTCCTGTCTCAGCCTCTGCTAGGTAACATTTTTAATACTTGCTTTAAATTGTGTAACTCATATTGGCTTACTGAAAGTTTCTCAGATTCTAGAATTAAAGTAAACTTCATTGTTTACTAGGATGAAATATTCCCTTACCTTAATGTAGCGGTCCTGGTTTTCATCAATATACTGGAACAGGGTAGTTAGAGCCGACATCTTTCCACTAGACTGCAGAACTTGAAGCTTCTTGGAAAGGAGAACAATCCACCAGCCACCTGTAGGTGGGGACTGAGGTAAGTGGCTGGAAGCACTTGCTGAGCTCTCAGATCAGCACTGTAGGGCCCTCTGCCCTTCCCTTCCTGGGCAGCATTACAACACTCTCATTGCATCAGGACTCTCCAGGAAGTCACTGGCTTCAGAGTCATGATCTCTGGGACCTAGTCAGAGGTTTAGATTCACCTTCCCTTTTCTCAGAAGGAAAATCCACACAAAACCCTGTGTCCAGTGGCAGGTAACTGAAAGGCCCCGAGTTGCAGACAATCTGACGAAAAGTAAAATAGGCACTTCCCAGTGATAGTAATTTACCAGCATTAAAAAAAAAAAAAATTCACATTCTTAAAGCACACAGAGAACTGTCCACTTTCTATGACCATTTCAAGATCTCAGCAAAAATGTCACATCCTGTCTCAACAGCCACAAACCCAGAACACAGCCAAGAGAGCCACAGGCACACCAGATAAATTCATTTTAGGAATGCTAATGATCTTAGCTCAGAAACCTCCACAAGGACCCAAGATAAAGAAACTTCCCCATTGTCCAGTAGGGCAAGTGTGGGTAATGATAACGCACTACACAGGAGAAAGCTAGGCGACAGATTTCTTTTGATGTGGTGCTAAGAATCAAACCCAGTGCCTGCCTCATATATCCTAGGCGAGGGCTCTGCCACTGAGCCATATCTCCAGCCCATGAAACAGGTTTCATAATGTTTTTACCATAAGAAAATGATCGGTGTTTGAGGAGACAGGTATATTTGCCCTGGATTTGAGCATTGTACAAGGCATACTTCACCGAAATGCCTCATTGCACACCATGATTATGTACAATGTTTATGTTTTTATGCATCAGTTAAAAACATAAGTTTAAATTAAAAAATAAAAACCAAACTTCCATTCCTGGCACACATATTCCACCCCCCCTTACATTTACTAACATTCAGCTTTCACACCTGAGACCCTGACTCCTGCTCTATCTTACAGACGCAGGGCAAGTAAATCATGGGACTGCTTTAAAAAATCAGAATGAAGACAAAATAAAAATGTCTCTAGACTTTCAAAGCAGTGTTTCTCCTCTTTCTTCAAAAACTCAAGACTTAAGCAGAAATAGAAAAGAGATCAGCTGTCTGAGCAGATTCGTCCTGAGTGAAGCAAAGTGACAAGATCCTACCACAACTTTATGGGTCTGAAGTGGGTGCAGGGCAAATGCTTGCACACTGACACACTGTTGTTGAACAGCACATATTCTTGGTATAGGGCTCTAGAGCTGTTCTAAATAGGTGACTGACTTGATCCACTGTGACATGAAGTGTGGCAGCTGCACAGCAGACTGAGGAAGTTTCTCCAGCTGCACAGTATGGCAGATGTGATTTCTGTATGGGTAGGAGATTACACCACGAAGCTCTCAAAGTCCTTTTCCCCTTCTTCCTCACAGACACTAGAAAGAAAGCATGAAATATTTCCATACTCTGGGCCAACTCGTAATGCCCCAGCTCAGGCATTCATGGGAAAGAGTCTCAAGTAGAACAGAGTCCGTGAATGCTGCTGAGGCATTTTTTATGAGTGTTAATGAGTCAAATTTTAGCCATCTGTCACCAAAAATGCACACAGAGAAGCCACCTATTTATATGAGATGAAAGCCTATTCAGCCTACACTGGGTGCTTTTCCTTTGAGTTTCTGCTCACTAAATACCACAAATTCCAAACTCACTGTGGAATCATCTCATTAATATTGTTTTTTTTTTTTTAGTCAATTAACTAACGGCTTTCTAAAGCACTCAAAGATGTAATTGTCTAAGCTGTGCCTGTTCACCAAGAGTAAACAGATACCGATTGTTCAGTTACCCTGTAAAACCACAAGGACTGCTCAAAGCACCTCCCCTATATTAACTGTCAGAAAGCAGAGCAGGTCGGGCAGGTTCCGATTTTTGGTCTCCCAATCAGTACTTGACTTCTGTTTCACCTCCACTAACACCAAACCCACTAAATGGAACCACTTTTATGTGACTTGATGAAACTCATTTACTAAGGTAAACGCAGTATGTTGGAAAGAACAAAAGCAATATATTATCCCTCCAAATATATGACAGGCTCAAAGTTCATGAGGAGCAACATTTAAATAGAGGCTGGTAAGAGGGGAAGGAGAAATGATATGAACTAGGCAGCGATACACACAAATGATTCTTTTAATTCTGAGTGTCTCAATCTTTTTCCCCTGAGACCTGAAGGTTAGAGTAGTCAGAGAACTACTACCCTCACTAAACCGCGGGTGGGGATCTCCTATTTGCCTATTCTAGAATTTCATCCTAAACATATCACGAAACTACTTTTTGCCACTCCTCCCTGCCAACATTTGAGACAACACAGGCTATCAGGAACAGGTCCCAGGAGAGGTTCTCCTGATTTTGTTACCCGGAGCCTGAACCAGGCTGCCTCTCCAGAAGCCAACCATACTGGTGGCCCCCTCTGTAGGGCCCAGGGACTCAAGGGCATTAGTGCCGGGGACCAGGCATAGACTTCATTTTACAGAGGAAACAGGTGATGGAATAAGGGGCCTGCCCACACCAGCGAGGGAATGTCTCCCCGCCGCAGGGGAATCCTCCGCCTCAAGTGCCAGGGCGAGCCAGGCCCTGAGCGTGTCTGCAGAAGGCAGAGCGCACGACAGACCTCCCCAGGGCAGCACTAGCTGCACGCTGCTCCCCGCCACCCCACCTGCACCAGGTCGCCACGCAGGCCGGAGCCCGGGCGCGGCCGAGCAGGTCCCCTCACCCGCCCGGACGCTCGGCTGGCCCCTCGGGAAGCGGCGCAAGAGGCCCCTTCCGATCCGCGGCCCCGCTAGGGACTCTACCACCGACCGCGCTCGGGACAGCCGGATTTCACTGGCTGCGGCCTGGGGCCCGACGTTCCCACACCAAGGAGCGCGACTCCTGCAGCTGCGCGAGCTCTCCCGCCTGGTCGCCAGAGGCCCGGATCGCCCACCAGAGAAGGAAGGTCCAGCCAATGAGGTCCGCTCACCCAAGGCGCCGGTTCCGCACCACGTGTCCAAGGCCACGCCCCCAAGCGGCCCGCGCCCCACCCCACCCGCCAATCCCCGGCCTCGTCCAGGACTGTCTTGCCCCGCCCCTCTCCACCGCCCCGCCCACCAATCCTCGTCCTTGTCGGGCTGTCTCGCCCCGCCCCTCCACATGCCTCGCCCACCAATCCCGGGCCTTGTCTTGCCCCGCCCCTCCTCCGCTAGCGCGCGGTGAGGGCGGGGCATAAAGTCTTCCCAGGCCGAAGGGCGTGAAGGCCGGTAGCCCTGGAACGCTGGCCCCTGGCGGTGGTGTGGAGCTGGGCTTCCCGGCACTCACCGGGGTTGGTCGGGAGCGTGGTGCTTAGACTGTGAGGTGCGAGAGGTCGTGTAGATCTTCATTGCAGCTTTGAAGTCCGAAACTGAGGAACCTACCTCGCGTTTTCTGAGTTCCCAGGCTTTGGACCTGATGTTTTCCACCGAGACCTGTGTTTGCACCACTGTACCAGCAGAATCCAAGGAGGAGCATTCTGCAAGCCACACATTCAAGTACATTCCAGTTTGAGATACTTGATCGCAACACATGCACTATCACCACTCCCAAGAGAAGTCTGTTAGTTTAAGTTTCACAATTCCAGGAATTCATGAAGAAAGCGAGCATACCCACCACGATTTGAGCATCTGCTGCTTCCCTTTTTAACCCTGGGAGTTGTTCCGCGGTCTGCTAATCTTTTTATAAGAGTATTCTCAAAAGAATTTTGCAAAGCTTGTACACCTTTCACATTTGGGGGCAGGTACAGAAATGGGCGTTTACAATGTTAATCATCATCTGATAAACAGTAGTTGATTATGAATCTCAATAAATATTAAGAAAATATAAGTTTTATTCTTAATGTAGAACCCTTTTTTTCTGGAAATATGTTAATTATTACAAAGGAGAACTTTCTAGATCCTACCCTGAAAAAGATGCCAAATACGCTCCAGACCTCAATTAAGGAGGCATTTCCAATGAGAGTTGAATTTGGACTTGCGCCTTTGTCTAGAACTTGAGAAGTTTTCCATGAGCTGGTAAATGCACAGCAGTTATAACAATGCCTGGCATTGAGTGAGGGCTCTGTAAGTGTTGCCTGTGCATCCTCTCTCAGGACAGTCTGTGATCAGGAGGAACAGCAGGGCTCTGCTATGCTACCTGTGTGTTTCCTGGCCTGTCAATTCTAGGGGAAAGCCCCTGTGGGATTGGAGAGCTGGAAAGTGATGCCCTTTAAACTCTGAGCCCTCCTTAGAAAGCCTGTGCCTTGGGTATCAGTCACAAGACCACTGCCCTACACAACTGGTCAGTAAATGAGTTAGCATCTGAGTAGGAGTGTGCTGCTTTGAATTTCCAGCAGGTGGCCCTACACATCCATTTCATCTCTGGTAAAGGGTGCATTGCAGGTGGCTGCATAGCAATGAATCTGGCCTTAGTTGTCAGGAGATAGATAAATATGTTTCTAGTCTTCTCTGCTGGATTTGGGAACAGGGACATTATGAGAGAAAACTAGGAGAGAGATATGGAGATGGATGTTTTAGTTAACTTTTGTGTTGCTGTGACCAAAATACCTGACAAGAACAACTTAGAGGAAAAGTGTATTGGGGGCTCAGGGGTTCAGAGGTCTCAGTCCATAGAAGGCCGACTTCCTTGGTCTGGCCCAAGATGAGGCAGTACATCATGAGGGAAGGTCCCAATGGAGGACGGAGGATCAGGAAGCAGAAAGAGAAGGAAGAAGGGGCCACAGGGAAGACAATCCTTTAGAGAAATCACCCCCATTAACCCACCTCCTCCAGCAATGTCCCATCTGCCTACAGTTACCATCTAGTCATTCAAACTAGAAAGGACTGATTAGATTACAAGTCTCACAATCCAGTCATTTCACCTCTGAACATTCCTGCAGAAACACAGGAGATCTGGGGGGACACCTAACATCCAAGCCATAACATGGGTGGCCAGGGGTTGGGTGCTTTGGAAAGGGGAATAATGAGAACTTAGGAAATGAAAGCATTATAGAACTTACTATTGATTATTAATCTATTCAAGCAACATTAGCTCAGGCTTCCAGTGGCTGCAATTTTCAGTTTCCAGCAGGAGATAGAGTTTAATCTCCAGAATCTGGTTGAGTTCTTATAAACCCTGTTTCACTAAACATGCCAACAATGGGAATAATCACCCTTCTGGAAAATGGAGAATTTTCCTGGGAACAGAAACCTCTTTGGAGACAGTAATTATTCTCCAGAAACCTTGATGCAGAGAAGTAGTTGGTGACTTTTTCAGAGAATACTTGCCAGATAGAGTGGAAGAAAGAAGGAAGCAGTGTAAAGAGATTAGGAGGGTCAACTGTAAAGGGCTCCACATCCTTACCTTGGAGGTTGGTAAATTCTAGTCCTCCCATAGTTGGTCTCTAGGAGTTTCTGGCTCTGTGTTGGTTTCCATGGGGTCAGTTAATCCAAATGCTTCAGTTCCAAATGCTCCCATTTCCTCTTACCTGCAGGACTTCACTGGTATATTCCACAGGCCCTTTGTAAAACAGCACAGTTGGACCTTGGAGATACTGTCTGTTGGGTTCACCACAATAAAGTAAATATCACGATAATGCAAGTCACATAAACATTTTTGGTTTCCCAATGTATACAAGTTAGGTTTACATGATACTGTTAAGAGTGCAATAGTATTAACTTTTAAAAAATGTACATATTTCAATTTTAAAATACTTTATTTCTAAAATATATTAATAATCAGATGGGCATAATGGTGCATGATTGTAATACCAGCTACTTGGGAGGCCAAGGCAGGAGGATCAGAGGTTGAAGCCAGCCTGGGCAACTTAGAGAGACCCTGTCTCAAACAAACAAATAAATAAATAAGGGCTGGGGATATAACTCAGTGGTGGAACACCCCTGGGTTCGATCCCCAATACAGCACCCTGAAGAAGAAGAAGAAGAAGAAGAAGAAGAAGAGGAGGAGGAGGAGGAGGAGGAGGAGGAGGAGGAGGAGGAGGGGCGGCGGCGGCGGCGGCGGAAAGTAATGATCATCTGAGTTGTTGGAAAGATGGTGCCCATAGACTTGATGGCTACAGGGATGCCATGAACCTTCAATCTGCAAACAAAACAAAAAGCTCTGTATCTGCAAAGCACAATACAGTGAGTGAGGCACAATAAAACAAGGCGTGTGTACGTACATTCAGAACCAAACGTGATTTACCTCGTCTCCTGTCACCTCTGCTGTGTGGCAGAATCCTAAGCTTCCTGTTTCTCCTTGAGCATGAGTGAGCCTCACCTAATCGGGTGAGCTCTTGGAAATAGGGTGCAGGTTGAGATGAGAGCAGCCAGAGACTTGCTGCTGCCAGGATGTTTCATGCCATGATGGAGAGGTCACATGGCAGGGAATGTAAGGGCTCCCAAGGGTCCGAGATCCTGTCCTGTGAATTCTGTCAACTACTGAAGGAGCTTGGAAGCAGTCTTCCCCAGCCAAGCCCCAGCTGAGAACACAGCCTGGCCCACTCCTTCACCACTGGCTTGGCACCCCCTGAGCACAGGTGCCCGACCCGCAGAGACTGGGAGACAAGAAGCAGGTGTTATTTTAAGCTGCTAAGCATGTGTTTTAGTCAGCTTTTTCACAGCTGTGACTAAAAGACCCAAGCAGAACAACTGTAAAGGAGAAAGAGTTTATTTGGGGGCTCACCGTTTTAGAAGTCTCAGTCCATAGGCTGCTGGCTCCATTCCTCAGGTCTGGAGGTGAGGCAGGGCATCACTGGGGGAAGAGTATGGCGAGGGAAGCAGCCCACACAATGACCAGGAATTTCAGAGACTCCATTGCCAGATACACAAAGTCACACCCCCAATGCCCACCTCCAGTCACACCCTACCCGCCTTCAGTTCTCACTCAGTTAATGCCATCAGGGGGTTAATTCACGGATTCTGTTTAGACCCTCACAACCCAATTTTCTCTCCTCTAAACCTTTTTGCATTTGGGGGACACCTCACACCCAAACCACAGCTGTCACACGGCACTGGAAAATTAATACAGCGCCTGCATGACTGCACTGAGCCTGAGCTTCCTGTGAAAAGAGGCCTGCAGGGACCTCCTGGTCCCTCTCCTCACAGCAGTTGTTGCTCAGGTTTGGGCTCCATCCTTGCCGGTCTGGACCTGCAGGGTCCTCAAGGGTGGCCCGTGGCCCCATGTAAGAAAAGAACTCCCACATGCAGGGCGCCTCTGGCCTCCGCATGCAGCACAGGCCCTCTCTACCTGAAGCACACTGTCCACCCCACCAGCAGAGCCTGGCAACCCTCTAGGAGTAGGAAATAAGTGCTTTTCGGTAGATTTTGTTTATTCTATGTTTCATGCACAAATGGGATTTTAAACTTAATATCACACACTATTGAATCATCAACTAACTTAATTTACTTCATATTTCAAATATCTCTCCTAATCAAAATACCACCCTTGTGGCCAAACTTATTAAAATTCCAACAATAAACATGTCTCACCTTGAATATATTGAATGCAGAATTTTTTGAAATTTAGGAACTTAGATATTTGAAATATCTGTCCTAGAGCCTCCAACATGGTTATTAAGCCATGATATATTGTAATATAAGGTGTCATGCCATTCAGAGGATCAGGAAAACAGAGTCTCCTCCTCTGAGTCTTATATCTGTGCCCATGCATTTGAAGCCTACATGTATTTTTGTTTGTTGCTTTGGTGTGTCTTGGGTGGATGGCTCATCTGAGTTGTGATTCGTGAACTGGTTAACTTGGAAAGCTGGGACTCTTATGTCCTGTGTAACAATTGTAGTGTGCAGGCCACCAAAGCATGAAGGGCATAATTAACCACCAGGCCTGTAGGTATTATAATTCAGACAAGTTTTCCCCTGTGTGAACACCAGGGACCGTCACCACACACACTGTGAATGAACCCCTATAAGGAGGCAGCACAAAGAAAGGGA